CTTTACCGTGATCTAGCATCCCAGGCTACTGATGAGAAATATGTCATCTTGATTCCTGCTTTCTTTAGGTCAGCTGTGATTTTTCTTTGGCAGCTTTTATAATTTTTTTCTATCCTTAGAGCTCTGATATTTTACCAGGGTGTTACAGGGTATGAAATGTTTTTATTTATCCTGTCTGGCATTTGGATTATCCTTTCTATTTGGGCTGTGCCATGTTCAGTTAAGGGAGGGTGTCTGTTTTTTCCCCTCTTAGAACTCCCATAAGGTAGATATCAATCCCTTGGACCTGTACTCAGTGTCGCCCAATCTTTCTTCCATAGCTCCAATGTCTTTGTGGTTTTTTAAAAGATTTATTTCTTTATTTTGGAGAGAGAGAGAGAGAGAGAGAGAGAGAGAGCGCAAGCACATGAGCAGGAGTAGGGGCAGGAGGAGAGGAAGAGAGAGACTTAAGTAGACTCTATGCTGAGTGTGGAGCCCAATGCAGGACTCAATTTCATGACCTTGAGATCATGACCTGAGCCAAAACCAAGAGTTGGATGCTTAACCGACTGTGCCACCCAGGTGGCCCATTCTCTGTGTTTTTGTTGTGGTTGTTGTTGTTCAGTGTTCTCTATGTCTCCACTCACCTAGCTTAGTTTTCAGCCATGTCTGCTTTGTCAATGAGCTCATTCACTGACCTGTAAAATTTTAATAATCATTGTTTCCAAGGACTCTTCTTGTTATCTGGTTACTTCTTTTCTATAGCAGCCTCTTTTTGCCTTATGACTCTGGTATTCTTCCCTGTCTCTCTGCAGATCATAAATCTCTGTTGCTTGAATCGGCTTGTTTCTTTAGTATCTTCTCTGTTTGTTCGTTTGGGGCTGTATTTATCATGTATTGCAGTGTAACAATTTACCCTACAGTGCTTAAAACAGTGAGCAATTTATTGTCCTCCCAGTGTCTGTGGGTCAGGAATGCAAGCATGATTTAATTGGGTGCCTCTGCCTGAAGATCTCTCACAAGGCAACAGTCAAGGTGTGAACCAGCTCTGTGGTCTCATCTGAAGGCTCAAAAGAGGAAGAATTTTCTTCCAAGTTCACTCACATGATTGTTAGCTAGATTCACTTCCTTCTTAGCCAGTTCCTCACTGGCTGTTGGCTCGAGGCCTCTCTCAGTGTCTGTCTATGTGGACCTCTCCATATAGCAGCTCACATCATGGCACTGACTTCCTCAGAACAAACCACCAAGACAGCAAGAGAAGGCAAGCAAGAGAAGCCTGAGTCTCCTTGTAAACTGATCTTGGAAGTGCTGTTCCATCACTTTTGCCATATTCTGTTCCTTGGAAGCGCGTCACCTAAGTCCAGCCCACACTCAGGAGGAAGGGGTTATGTAAGGACATGAATACCAGAAGGAAGGGATCATTAAGGGCTATCTTAAATGCTGTGCCTACTACAGAAGTCTTACTTTTGGTCCCCCCCCCCCCCAAGTCTCTAGTGATCTTTGTTTCTAAGGAAAAGACTTTAGGGGTTATTGCAGGTAGTGGGCCTGGGTTTACTCTGCATCTGTGTCACTTACATAGGCTTCCTTTTCAGGTATGTGGGCAGACAGTGTGGAGGCTGGCTGGAATTCCCTCTTGTGTAATTCCATGTCTTTTATGTGCATGGTTGGAACTTGTGACTTGCTACTAGCCATTATTATATGGAAGACGTGCTGAGATAGTCACTCCCTTGATTAGGTTACATTTTATGACAAAAGGGATTTTGCAAATAATTATGGTCCTAAATTAGTTCCCTTTGAGTTATACAAAAGGAAGATTTTCCTGGGTGGGCCTGACTTAATCAGTGAGAAGCCCTCAAGGAAGGACTGGGGTTCTTGGGGTCAGAGATGCTCTCCTGATGGCCTTAGGAAGCAAGCTGCAAACAGCAGTTCTGTACCTGCAAGAAAATGAATTTCCCAACAATTTAAATACTTGGAAATGGGTTCTTCCCTGATCAAGCCTCCAGATGAGAATGCACCTTGAGTGACACCAAAATGGTTGGCTTATGAGACTCTGAGCTGAGGACCCAGCTAAACAGCCTGGACCCCTGATGCACAGATACTATGAGATAATAAATAGATGTTATTTTGAACCAGGGAGTTTGTGGTCATTTGTTCACAATAGAAGAACAATAAATGTATTTCATTCCTTGTCCCTCCTAGAGCTGATCCTTTTCTGGTTCTCTCTTGGTCAACAGTGGAGGCCTGCTGTAGATTCAAGCTCTGTTCTCTCTGTGACTAGCTTCCTCATTAGGAATCTTCTCCACATCTAGCTTCCTCAGACAGAGGGCAGCTCTTGGGCTGTGACTTGGGGGCGTGTTACTACTGCCAGTTGTACATTTTATTTCTTTACATTGGGAATTGGGAAGAGGAGAAGCCTAACTTGCAGATGTTGCAAAGGCACCTGTTTAATGAGAGACCCTAATGATCACCCCCTTACCTACTCCATTTCTTTGAATGTATTGATTCCAAGCTTGTAGCTCTGGCCACCTTGGTGGGAGCCTTGCTTATGCAAGGTGTCTCCTTGTGTGGTTTCCTCTACTCTGCATTTCCCACTACTCTGATTCTACTCAGTTTTTCTCTTCATGGAATTTCTTACGACTTCTGATCTGTTGATGGCCTATTTTCCTGTTTTATAATGCTGTTATGGTTTTCTTCTTTAAACAGAAAATAATTTTCCTAGCACTTCAGTGGGGGCTTGGAATTGAAGGGAGACAGATGTTGGTAATAAGTCTGCATGAACTCAGCTGCACAATCTGGACTGGACATTTTCTTTTTATAAGAGAAAAAAATACTCTTTTGCTAACTAACACCGATTCAGTATATTTGTAATAAATTTGGCATATTTCTAATAAAATCAATGAGAAAGGGCAGAATTTTTATTTTAATAACTACTTTTCTCATGTTCTATTCTTTCCTTCTTTTAAAGTTCCTTCATCTCTATGAAGACTCTGCTCTTTTTTCTTTTCATTTTTTTTTTTTAACCCTTTTCCCACTTACACTTACATAGCCTTTCTCTTTATTTTCTTAGGGTGATTTATTAGAATAAGTGACTTTAAAATATTGCTGACACTGTGTTTTTTTCTAACGCTACTAGCACACATGATGTAAGTGCTGAGGATGTTGAGATAATTGAACTAAAATTGTGATTTTAAAATTGTTTTAAGACTCTTAGTTCTAAGTAACACGAACCTACTTCAAACTAGTTTGGGTTACAGAGAATTTATTAGACAGAAATTATAATAATTTACTGAACCCAAGAGTAAAAATTATATTTGGATATCATGAGGGTGTGGAACCAGAAACTAGAAAGTTGATAGAAACCCAGATAGTCATTACCTTTCTGTCTCTCTTATCTGTTTTCCTCAACATCTGCTTACTTTGTTTCTCAGCAGACTCACTTTTTTTCGTATGGGTATGGTCAAATATGGCTGCCCAACAATGGTAACCAGAGTTTCCAAGTTTATTAAATTTTTAAAAAAAGATTTTATTTATTTACTTGAGAGAGATAGTGAGAGAGAGAGCATGAGAGGGGGGAGGGTCAGAGGGAGAAGCAGACTCCCCACTGAGCAGAAAGCCGGATTTGGGACTCGATCCTGGGACTCCAGGATCATGACCTGAGCTGAAGGCAGTTGCTTAACCAGCTGAGCCACCCAGGCACCCCAGAGTTTCCAAGCTTATGTCATATTAGTTCAACCAAATAGATAAGAGACAGAATGCCAGATTCCAAGGAGAAAGATGAATTGGTTTAGTTTGGGCCAGTTATCTCTTTAGACCAGTGTAATGTAGTCATGAAGACAGATTTTTATGGTATAAACATGGCTGCTATGGCCCAAGTTCTCAAAGAAGAGGTAAGAGATAAGTGAGCGCAAAATTGGGCAGATATCTCAAGACATGTCTTCTTCAACATTCTTGTTTATTACCAGTGTGCTATTTCTTATTAGACAGTTTAGCTTGTGGTGAAGACCGTAAGCTGAGGGTCACACATAAATTGATTTGATCCCAGCCTTGCCACTACTAGCTGTGTGACCTCTGTGAAGATTAAAATCTTTCTGTGTACAATTGGGATGATAAAGCCTATCTCCTGGGGTTGCCGGGAGGATGAAATGAGAATATATATGGTACATCCAAGCACTAATAAATAGTAGTTATTAATTATTACTATTTTCAGATCATTTGGGAAATGGAGGAACATACATTTTACTACTTCAAAGGTTGTAAGAAGATCTAGAGGCAAAATTCCTGGTGCTACAGAATTACATAGTCAATAAAAATCTAAGAGAGAGTTTTGCCTTTACCACACTTGACCAAAGGAATGGATACAGGGGAGGCTGGGATGATGGTGTTAGGGCCCAAAAATCTATACTTATTTTTTGAATGAAATCTTTGCTTCTATTGATTTTTGAAAGAGGTAGCAATGGTCTCACGATCCTAAAGAGAGCCAAGCAGGGCTGGTGATCACTGGAAGAGGCATCATAGTTTTTTCAAGTCAATTCTTGTTCTCATGGTCTCTGCAGTCATTCCATTTGGTGGCCGGTCTATTCTGATTGGCTAGTGACTTACCCAGTAAGATGTTTTTGAATATCATCCCTGGAAACCAAGTGTGTACCATCAGTTCAAAGATTTCAGCTTTTGGTAAAGAAGATGCATCTTTTTCTTTATAAACAATAGATTTTCTTTGCACTTTTCTGATGTATATGGTAAAATTGTGGGTGGCTCTTAGTAAAGGATACAAAAAATGGTAATGAACCAAATTGTATATAGTTAACCGAACTCATGGCTTAGTAAAGGATATGTAAAATGATGATTTGAATTCTGTATAGTTAAATAATACCAAATGTCAGCCCAAAGTTAGTATTTACATAAAGGAGAGTTAGCCAACAATCTACATTTATGGCTTCTTTTTAAAACATGATGTATGCTGTTCTATATGAAATTGCAGTAGAAGAGTATCTCATTGACTAACTGTGTAATTTTCTCTTAAGTTATGCAGACATTTTGATTGAGAGGGAAGTGTTAATGCAGAAGTACATTCATCTAGTTCAGATCGTAGAGACAGAAAAAATTGCAGCTAACCAGCTCCGGCATCAACTTGAAGATCAAGACACAGAAATCGAAAGACTTAAATCAGAGGTACTTCCCAGTTAACAAGATTCTTCCCCATTGTTTCACATTTATTGTCATCTCCTCATAATTACGTAAGGCCTATCAGGGCAAGATTTTAATCCCAAACTTAGTTCCTTTGGTGTCAACGTGTACGTGGTCAGACTAGAGATCTATACTAGGAAAGTATCTGGTCTGTTAGGGTTGAGTAAATATGCTACAACAAAATACCAGGCTAATATGCTGCTTTTTAATTATTTTGTGCTCCTGATATCCTTCCTTTGATCAGATAACCAAGAGTTGACTTAATATGTAATTGTTTGTAGACTGAATATTGTAATAATGATAACTGTGAATCTATCATAGATTCAGTTACAATCCCAAATGCAACTAAGGAAGGAGCAGAAATGAAGTCCGAAAGACTTTGCTGCTTCTGTATCTAAGGAGTCCAACTTTCTCCCCTCTAGAATTTTGAAAAACACATTTGTGTTAAAGTATAAGACATTTTCTAGGGTACACTTTTTCCTGAATTTGTCATTCCTGCCTCCTTCCACCTCCACCCTCCAGCCTCCAAAGGTGAACTTCTGGGGTCCTGCACCCCCAGATGGTGCGATTGTGCCAAGTAAGAACAGAAGATGGTCATGGCGTCAGCAGCCATGGCGGTGGGCCCAGGTCCTCCCATGCTCCCAGGTGCCTCTGTCTCTATATAGAAACCCGAGGGTACCTTTCCTTGCTGTCCCGTTATTCCTCGTGGAAAGCAGACAATAACTGGAGAACTGAAGAGGAATGTAGAAAACAAGATTTTCCCCCCTTTCTAACTAGGGATACATTAGCATTTTCTTTGCCTCAAAAGAGAAGAATAGAACAGAAGGCAACCTACCACTAATTGTATTCTATTGACAGAACAATTCAGGGTCCTCATTCTTGGTAACTTTCTTGTCACTTTTATAGTCTCTGGAGAATGTTTTCCTTTTTGTTTCCTCACACCTTCTTCTAAGACGTACTCTGAATCCTGTGAGAGGTTTTCACCTCCTGCTGCCCGTGTACGTCACCTCCAATTCACAGAGCAAGGGTACACGCTGATTGTACCTGGGATCTGATTGCTTCTCCAGTGATAAGTTGCAGACCATGTTCACCATATCATTAGTGTTGTTAACTTCCCAGTTCAACCCTGAAATCCAGTATAGTGAAAACAACAACAGAAAACTTAAGAAACCTGCATTTTAAAAGGCTATATCAGGCACTGTAATTTAAAACAAAATTATTGTGTTCTTTCTTTGCCACAGTAAGCTTAGAGCAGATGCATGTCGGCTGAGTGAAAGAGGTTGGCATTTACTCCACAAGAGAGACTCAGTCAGCACCAAGCAGTGTTCCCCAGTCTTTATTTGTGCATGCTTATCTGTCTTCACTGTGTTCTAATTTTAGTCTGAATATAGATTGCAGCCCCAGACTGTCAGTAGCAGGTATGTCTTATGTGGCCAGTAGGCAGAAACAATAATTTATTTCTTACTCCTTTTACTTTCCCACATCTCTGCCAGAAAATGGCAGAAATGTGTATTTGGTATTGGTGACAAAACGGAAAGATAGGTCAGAGGAATCAGTTACGACTCTTAATTTTTAAATGTCTGCTTGTAGTATATCTGTACAGGTTCTTACCTTTATAAGAGCCTGCAGTTGAGTGGTAGTCTAGTGAATTTGATTACTAAGTGTTTTGAAGCAGCTGTCTGGTCTTGAATTGCCCCCACAGGCCACAAAACTGAGCAGGAGATCTAAAGAGATCCCAGGTTTTTTCAATCGTTTTTACCTTTTCACCTTTTCTTCGTTGGCTTGGATTAATCCCAAAACTCCGAAGTTCCTTTTGCAGTTACCATTTTCCCAAGGAATTTTGTGAATCTGCTGTACTGTGTATACCTGGAAGGCTGCAGGCTGATTAAGGGAAGCAAGAGCTTTGACTTGAGTGTCATTGCATTTGGAGACCACAGGGCATTACTGGCATCAGGCAAGATGGCGGCATGCCGCTCAGATCCTGTGAAGGCCTTGGCCTAGTCCTCACTGGGCTGAGTTCACACTTTCCACAGTCACTTCTTAGGAGCGATTTGTTAGCAACATAACTAGACAGGTTTGTGGTGAAGTTCTTGCTTCCCCTGCCTTAGCACCAAAGGAATAAAAGTTGGATAAAAAGACGAAAGTTTCCTGAGGATCTCATAAGCTACCTTGTAGGTATAACTTCCTAGGAGTGAATGGCTATAAGCCAGTATTTCTCAAATCACAAAATGGACCAATTCTGTGTTCTAGATTGTCGCTCTTAACAAAACCAAGGAACGAATGCGGCCTTACCAAAGCAATCAAGAAGATGAGGACCCAGACATCAAGAAGATAAAAAAGGTAGTATTGGTGGGGGGTGCGTTCTGGCTTTGGGCAAGCATGGTGATCAGTTATCTGTCCTGTAGTGTTGTCTTTGCCACCCTGTCTCTGAGCTTGGTGTATCTATTCTAATGGCTCTCAGACTTTCCCTTCAGACTGATCTGGGAATGGCTACTTTGGAAAAGTTTCAGCTCGAGATTTTTTTCCCAGTTCTGGGAATCCCCTTTTGGACTCTGTGGGAGGGTTGCCAAAACCAGACATTAAGACAATAGTGTTCTCAAACTGGGTTAAGTATGTGCTGTTGAACCTCCTAAATTTGTGCTGCTTTCATATTTTAGGGGAATATCTTTTAAATGACATTTAAAAATATTTCTTTTAGATTTAGATTTCAGTGCTTATTTAGAAAGGATTTTTGTGAACATGTGAGAAGATTGACTAAACACATCTGCTCAGATTTCTGTTTTATTATCGTTGTTCCTTTCTTGCTTAACATCCACATAATCAACAGATCTTTCTGCCTCACTGTCATGTATTACTGTACAACTTTTGCAATTAACCAGACCCTGGTACTCCCTCTGTTCTACTGTGTTTGATTTTATGACATCTGAGTTTTGAGTTCCGTAATCTTAATACTCTTGTAAACCACCTACTCAGCTTTGTTAACATTGTGTGAAGAGCTTCACACTTCAAGAACTTTCTTTAGATACACATCTTTAGATCTTTATTTCATCTTAAATTTTTTCTTATTCCCGTTTTCCAACAAGATCGGGCATGTTCTGGGTGGTCTGGCTGTAGAACCTTATTCCTGTTTTTCGTGCTAAATAATTATTCCCCTTAAATTGTAGCAAAACTTCAAATATTGCTCAGAGTTTGAAATAGAAATGCTTCTTGGAACTAAATTGCAATGTTTTCAGTTTTTAAGCACTAAAAAGTGAAATAACACCATTCCCTTCTGGAATTAAAAAATTTTTTATTTAAGATTTTATTTATTTATTTGATACACGGAGAGAGAGTGAGTGTACAAGCAGGGGGAGTGGGAGAGGGAAAAGCAGTCTCCCCGCTGAGCAGAGAGCCCAATGCAGGGCTTGATCCCCAAACCGTGAGATCATGACCTGAGCCAAAGGCAGACGTTTAACCAACTGAGCCACCCAGGTGCCCCAGAACTTAAAAGTTTTTATTTTTTTATTTTTTATTTAAAAAAAAAATTTTTTTATTTGTTTGACAGACAGATCACAAGTAGGCAGAGAGGCAGGCAGAGAGAGAGAGAGAGTAGGAAGCAGGCTCCCTGCTGAGCAGGGAGCCCGATATAGGGCTTGATCCCAGAACCCTGGGACCACGACCTGAGCCGAAGGTACAGGCTCCAACCCACTGAGCCACCCAGGTGCCCCAGAACTTAAAAGTTTTTAAATTGAATTTGGTTTATGTTATTGTGATACAAGATTGATGCTATTGCCTTTCTTTTCATAGTATGGAGTTTTGTATAAACAAAGATATCAGTAAAATACAATTTTCAGTTTTTTGTTTTTTGTTTTGTTTTGTTTTGTTTTGTAGAAACTGGTCTTTTAGTAAGTAAGTAAACCAGCCTTTGCTTAGCAGGCAATACCTGACTAAGGAAAGATTTTATTTGACCAAAGTTTCGATTAAGTTGTTTTTTTTTTTTTTTTAAGATTTCTTAAAAAAATTATTTATTTGACAGAGAGAGAGAGGGAGCACAAGCAGGCAGAGAGGCAGGCAGAGAGAGGGGGGAGGCAGGCTCCCTGTCAAGCAGAGAGCCCGATGTGGGGCTGGATCCCAGGACCCCGAGATCATGACCTGAGCCGAAGGCAGAGGCCTAACCCAGTGAGTCACCCAAGCACCCAATTAAGTTGTTTTTTGAAAATGCTTCTGTTAAATGGAATAATACTGATGAAGGCTTTTTACATTTTCTGCCTTCTAATATTCAATAGAAGCAATTAAAAAATTACTTTTGAACTTGTTAAGTAGGTTTGGAAATCAATTCTGTTGTCCTTTATGTCCCAAATAACTTAATGTCTGTATGGAAAGGAGTGTTCCAGATGAATTAGATTTTCTATCCTGATCTTGCCAAATAGCAACATAATTTTTTATCTTCAGGGAACCAAAATTGAATTTTATTTAATTACAGAGAAACTTCCTGTTAGAATTTTCCAAATAATGTGCCTATACTTTCCCCACATAATTCTGTTAAAATGTGATTAATTTTTATTGTTGGAAGGGTGGCAACTAATGAATGCCTGCGTGAAGATTGACAGTATGATGACAACATTGGTAGGTAAAGGAGAGAATTTTAAACATTGCAAAAGAAGAGTGATTGTTTAAACACACGGTAATTTAGACCATATGGGTGAAACAGTGGGGAAAAAATAGGAAGTGTAAGAATGTGTTGAACAAATAACAGTGATACTAAAAGGAGATTGGGGTGAGCCTGGGTGGCTCAGTCGGTTAAGCAACTGCCTTCAGCTCAGGTCATGATCCCAGGGTGCTGGGATTGAGCCCCTTGTCAGGCTCTCTGCTCAGCAGGGAGTCTGCCTCTTTCTCTCCCTCTCCCTCTATGCTCTCCCCCTGCAAATAAATAAAAATAAAATCTTTAAAAAATTGTTTAAAAAATAAAAGGAGATCTGGTAGTGATTTAATGCTTTCAGTTATATGTGGATTTGCAATCTGCTTTGTTGTTGAATCTGCCACTTAGATATCACCACCCTAATAAATTACCATAATGTGATGTGATATATATATATATATATATATAATAATGTGATAAATTTATCATAAATTATCATAAATTTTTTTATATTTGGAAAGGACTTCAGATTGCTTTGGTCCATTATTTTATAGGTGAGAAAATGGAAGACAAGAGTTCAGAGTTACCCAGCGGGTTAGCACAGAGCCTTGGGTTAAGGCATGTCTGGTTAGCACCCAGCATTTACCTGGACACTGGAAAGATGTTCAGTAAATAGTTCTTGGCTAACATACACAGGCCAGTGCACTTTCTCAGGTTTGTCTGTTATTTTTCAAATCACACTCAGATCAATGTTAGAGGCTATCATGTTTTCTACAGAATTGATTTTTACTTATATTTCACGTTTCTTCTCACAAAATAATCTCCACTACAAATCATTAACATGTGTTTTTTTTCCATGTGGCTAAGAGAATCCTTGCAGTTAACAAAAAGCAGGTAAAAGAATGCCAAGTCTGATTGCATCTTTCCTGTGTGACTTAACCACGAAATTTAGTTACTTGTCCATAAATAGAAGGGGTCAGACGAGCTGATGGCTAACACTTATTTTCTAAGCTTACTAAAAAAAACCCTCAATAACAACAAATCAAATAGCCTGATTTAAAAATGGGCAAAGGACTTGAATAGATATTTCTCCAAAGATGAAATGCTATGCACATGATCTTTGGGGAAGTCATATACACAAGAAAAGCTGCTCACTATCACCCAGCTTCAGAGAAACACAAATCAAAACCACAGTGCAGTGTCACCTCACACCCATTAGGATGACTACCGTCAAAACACCGGAACATAAGTGTTGATGAGGATGTTGAGAAATTAGAACCTTTGTGCCCTCATGGTGGGATGGTGAAGTGGTTCAACTTCTACGGAAAGCAGTGTGGTCATTCCTCAAAAAATTAAAAATAGAGCTATCACAGTGATGCAGCATTCCTGCTTCTGGGTATATAGCCGGAAGGATTGAGTGCAGGATCCTGAGGAGATATTTGCATACCATGATCACTGAGGAACTATTCACAAGAACCAAGAGGTGGAAGCAACACCCATGTTTGTCAGCAGATGAATGGATAAACAAAATGTACATAGGGTGGAATACTGTTCAGCCTGAAACGGGGAGGAAATCCTGGTTCATGGTACAGCATGCATGAACCTTGAGGACATTACACTAAACGGAATTAACCAGTCACAGGAAGATAGATACTATGTGATTCCACTTATGTGAGCTATCTAAAGTGGTTAAGTTCACAGCAACAGAAAGTTGAATGGTGGGTGCCAGGGGCTGAGGGAAGGGAGTAGTGGGGAGTTGTTTTTCAATAAGTATAGTGTCACTTTTGTGGGACAGAGAAGTCCCGGAGATCTGTCGTACAGCAGTGTGAAATACTTAATGCTACTGAACTAGACACTTAAAAATGGTTAGGATGGTAAATTTTAAGTTACGTGCCTTTTCACCACAATTAAAATTTTTTAAATATCTGCTTTTATATTGTTAAAGAATACACCTTTAAGTTCTTTCTTTATTAAAACATTAATAACTATATATGTAATATTATCCTATTCTGGTGTCCATACAGGGAGTCCTAAAGAGCTTATGGAAGAAACTTGCAAAGTTGTGAAAAAATATTTAAATCCTCTTTTTTCCTGCTATCTGAAAAAGCCTGCCATTATTTGTTTTAGTGATGAGACCATTAACGCACTAACGAAAAAGTAGTGTTTTATGTGGCACAGGATGGAAACCCTTACTGACAGGCTTACCAAAGACAGTCTTGCCGCTCCCTGAGATCTTTCTGCTGTTGTTCTATAGGTTCAGAGCTTCATGAGAGGATGGTTGTGTAGAAGGAAATGGAAGACTATTGTGCAGGATTACATTTGTTCTCCTCATGCTGAAAGTATGAGGAAGAGAAACCAGATTGTGTTCACCATGGTTGAAGCCGAGTCGGAGTATGTTCACCAGCTCTACATCCTGGTCAATGGCTTCCTCCGGCCCCTGAGAATGGCGGCCAGCTCCAAGAAGCCTCCCATCAGCCATGATGACGTCAGCAGCATTTTTCTCAACAGGTTTGTCTTGGCATGAATCAAAAAGTCATGTGGAAAAAAATTTCTATTCCTTAAAAGAATTTTTACTTTACTCTTAAAAGAATAGGTATTATAAATTCAACTTCAAGAGTGTATGATACTGAAAATAAGAAAGCTGTCATTTGTGTTTCATTATTTGCCCAAATTTACATGTCTTTATCTTGAATCATGGCATCTAGTTTTCTGGTTCTTTTCTCTATTTGACATGTATTTTCTTGTCATTGTGTGGGTGTGTGTGTTGGGAATAATAATCTCCTTCATAAACTGAGGGAAGTGAAGTCAGTAATGGGTCTTTACATGTAATTTATACAGACGTACTTTAGAAAGAACAATAACTAACAGAGAACCCAAGAATCTGTAGTGAATTTATTTCTACATATTATACACTATATATAGTGTCCTTGCTGCTGAGGATTTGTCAGTGAGCAAAGCAGAAATCCTTGCCTTCATGGAGCTTAAACTGTGATGTGGAAAGAGACATAATGAATAGTGAATAAGTGAAATATGTAGTATATTATGTGGTGATGAGTGTTGTGAAAAGAAATCAAGAGGAGAGGAGACGGGAAAAAGGGGGTGCCTGGGTGTTTTATGTAAAATTTAGTAATTTATTTCTGAATATATAATACATTTACATTGTGCAAAATTCAAAACAACACGAAAACATCAAATAACTCTTACTCTGTCTCTGCCCACCCCATATACCCCACTTTTTATTTTTAACCATTTTCATTAATTTCTTATATACCTCTCTAGTGTTTCTTGATGTATATCCAATCAAATATGAATATAGAGTATTAGTTTTTCCCCCTTATTAACAAAGACAATGAACTTTAACATGTACTTGCCTTTTTCACTTAACGGTATATTCTGGACATCTTCCCATATTGACATCTAAAGAGCTTTCTATTTTATAAAAAAATCACTACATTGTTTTACATTATGTGAATGTGCCATAGTTTTTCTCTAGCCAGCCTTTGGAAAGGCCTCAGAGATAAGTTGATATTTGAATAAAGACTTGAGGTTGATGGGGAAGCAAGCCATTGGGCTATCTGGGAGAAGAGTGACACAGAAGAGGAGACAGCCTGTACAAAGGCCTGAGGCTGGGGCAGACCTGGCTTGCTTGATTGAGAAACTGCTTAAGTCCATGTGGATGAAAAGCGGTAACAATTGGACATTGTAAAGATGTTCGCTTTTACTGTAAATAAGATGGGCAGATACTGGTATCATTTTGAGGAGAGAAGTAGCATCATATAACTTATGTTTTAAAATCTCACTCTGGTTTCTCTGTTGGGAATCGAGCACAGGGAAATCAGTTTGGTGGCTATTTCAATAAACCAGGTGAGAGATGACTGTAGCAGGGAGGCCTGTTAGGTGGCTATCCCAACAATATAGGCGAAGGGTGATTGTAATGGAGGCCGTGATAAATGGTTAGATTCTGAGTATATTTTTAAATAGAGCCAATGAAATTTCCTGATGAGTTTGATGTGGGGTTTTGAGCAAAGTCCAAGGTTTTTGGGATGAAAAATTAGAATAATAGAGTTAACTACTCACTAAATGGAGAACACTGAGGTATAAACAGGTTTAGGGGGAAAGATAAAGAAATTTTAGTCTCAGACCTCTCAAGCATGAGACATTATTAGCCATCCAAATGGAGAAATCAAGTGAACAGGGATTGGATATCAGTCTGGAGTTCAGGGAAGGAGTTTGGGCTGGAGATATAGATTTGGGGGTCCAATAGCATATAAAGAGTATTTAAAGCTGTTGGTCTGCGTGAGAGTACCAAGGGAGTAAGCACAGATGAATGAAGGAAGAGGAACAAGGATGAGCCTTGGGATATTCCAACATTTAGAGATTAAGAAGATGAAGAGGAACCAGCAGAAGAGAGTGAAGAGGGTAAGTTAGGGTTGTAGAATGAAAACCAGCAGAAGGGGTTGTCCTGGAAACCAAGGCAAGAGAGAACTATGTCAAAAAGGTCAAATAAAATGATAACTGAGAACTGGCCGTGGGTTTAACACAGAGCTTTTTGATGACTTTGATGAGGGGCCAAAGCCTCATTGGAGGGGACTTAAGAGAGAATGGGGGGAAGGATAATAATGGAGAGAATTGGTATCAAAAACTCAGTGTTGCTGTAGAGAGGAGCCAGTAAACAAGATGCTACTTGGAGGTAAATTTAAAAGTATAAACAAGTGTGTTTGTGTTTCAAGATGGGATAAAAATTACACCGATAGCAAGGGGGCAATGATGTAGGAGTGAGGGGGAAATTTCTGGAGCAATAAGCTTGCATAGACATAAGTGGATGGAACATGGTGTTCAAGTCAAGTTGGAGCACAGAGAGGAAGAGAATAGTACCTTGACACGTATGCCATTAGGAAGCAAGGATATGCAGTCATGGTGCTAATAGAAGGAAAGTGCTGGGGTTAGATAAGAGAGGAAAGGTGTAAAATAATGCAGTATGATTGCTAGGCAGCTGGAGGAGCCTACATTGCTCTGTTAGGCTGGTGGTCATGACTTTGCAGTGAGACTAGTCAGGATGGTTGAGTGTTTTTCCTTTAGCTCCTTTCAGCTGCATGGGTGCCTGTACAGAGTAGGTGGATGGCTGGCTTTTTGCTGTTGTATGAGGCTAATATGAAATCAGAAATGAATCGGGGGGGCGCTCCTGGGTGGCTCATTTGGTTGAGCGACTGCCTTCAGCTCAGGCCATGATCCTGGAGTCCTGGGATGGAGTCCCACATTGGGCACCCTGTGTCTGCTTCTCCCTCTGGCCTTCCCCCTCTCATGCTCCCTCACTCTCATTCTCTGTCTCTCAAATAAATAAGTAAAATCTTTAAAAAAAATAAAGAAAAATGAAGAGGGGGAGTTGAAGATGTATGCAAGGGAGAGATTATAACGATGAGCCATGGAAGCTAAGCTGTGCAGAGAGGGAAATGATGGTATGAGGGGGTGGTGGTCAGTATCATGGATTAAGGTCCTGGTGATGTGAAAGGATTTTTGGAGTCAGAATTCTAAAGAAGTAAATGGAAAGATAAAGAGGTGGTCAGAGAATAGTTTGCTTGAAATAGATAGGGAAGGGATGTAGTTACTGACAATGACAAGGTCTGAAGTATAATCAAGGGAGTGTTGGTTAGGTCAATGGAGGGTAAGATCCCTAGAGGAGAGGAGTTCAAAGGCCCTAGAGGCCAGGATATTGGAATTTTGTTTTTTTGTGCATATTAGATTTGACCAGAATTATGACAGGAGTAGGGCTAGAGAAAGGACTGCCAACGAGCTGGGAGCTTGGAGCTCAAAACTCAAGGCATTAAAAGAGTATCTGGAGAGAGTTCTCCTCCACAGTGGTGTTGTAGGAAGACCCTAAACTCACCTCCTCCATGGAACACAACAAATTACGGCTAGTAATAGAACAGTTCCTCTTAAAGAAGAACTGAGGGCTTGACCGAACTGTTTCTGCACAACCAAAGATAGAGAGAAGGGCAAGAGAACAGCAAGAGAGAGGGAGACGTGGTAAAAAAAGGGAATCAGCCCTTAATGCTGCAAACAGCAGTGGGACTGGATAGTACTGAGGGGCCAGTAACAGATTCCCCTGTTTTTGGACACAGAATAAAAGCCATAGTTTAAAAGAGCAACTGGCATATAAAAAAGAAACAATGCTAGAACTTTGCCCAGTGGTGGAAGCTGCTTGGGTGCTCTCCAAATCAGAGGAACTGGAGAACGACACGGTTTATGTTCCCATCCCACTTTTTTGTCTATTTGTTTTTATCAAAGCCTGGAAAAGTAACATTAATTTTGTTAGTTAACTCATTCCCCACACCTACATGTTTGTCTGTATACTCCTTTAAGGAAGTAACTTAAGTGTCCATCAGTGGACCAATGGATAAGGAAAAAGTGGAGGTTATGTACACACACACACACACACACAGAAATATTACACAGCCATAAGAAGGGATGCGATCGTGTTATTTGAGACAACATGGTTGGACCTGGAGGCTGTTTTACTAAATGAAATAGGTCTGACTAAGAAAAACAAATACCATATGGTTCCACTCAAAAGTGGGATCTAGAATTAGATAAATAAATAAACAAAAAGCAGAATCAGACCTATAAATACAGAGAACAAACTGATGGTTGCCGGAGGAGAGGTGGGTAAGGATTTGGGCAAAATGGGTGAAAGGGAGAGGAACATACAGGCTTCCAGTTAGGGATGAATTAAGTCATGGGAATAAAAAGCAGAGCGTAAGGACTATAGTCAATTATATTGTAAAAGTGACAGGAGAGATGGTAGTTAGGCTTGTGGTGACCATAGTATCATGTATAAACCTGTCAAATCACTAACTGTACACATGAAAGTAACGTAATATTGTGTATCAACCATAGTCAAAAAAATTTCTTTGAAGAAAAAGAAAAAAAATTATTGCAATATGTTTTAATTTGGCTTTTTTTTTTAAAGATTTTTTTTTTAATTATTTTATTTGACAGATCACAAGTAGGCATAGAGGCAGGCAGAGAGAGACAGGAGGAGGAGGGAGGCTCCCTGCTGAGCAGAGAGCCCGATGCGGGACTCAATCCCAGGACCCTGAGATCATGACCTGAGCCGAAGGCAGAGGCTTAACCCACTGAGCCACCCAGGCACCCCTTAATTTGGCTTTTTAAAGAATTAGGTTTTTTGCATTTATCTTATTCTTTGTTTTATTTACTTTTGTTATTGAAGTATAATTGACATGCGATGTTATATTAGTTTCAGATGTGCAATGTAATGATCCAGCAATTCCATACATTACTTAGTGCTCAACAGGATATATGTACCCTTAATTCCCTTTATTTTACCCTTCCTCTAGCCTGCGTTCATTTCAAGTTACTGCCAATTCTGAGCTAAAGGTTATTTTCCCTAGGTTTTTATAAAGTGAAAACCCATACTGTAAGGAAGATTTTAGGGACTAAATCATAGGTCACAATTAAAATGCATATAAGTACTTTAAAAAGGCAAGACTGGGAGGGTCTGTAGATGGCTGCAAAAAGACTGGTTGATGGATGGTAACTTGCTTCTTTTTTAACGATTGATTGATTTATTTGAGCGGGGAGGGGCAGAGGGAGAAGGAGAGAGAGGCTGTCAAGAAGACTCCCCACTGAATGCAGAGCCCGTCTTGGGGCTTGATTGAGCCACTAGGTGCCCCTGGATGGTAACTTGTTAACAGGAGATTAGAAGTTCTCTGTTGTGAGGTGGGAGTTCTCCCCACATTAGGTGGCAGTGGCCACGCTCGAGTGTGTGGGACATCGCAAGGGACCCAAGGGGAGCTCCTGCTCCTCAGGCCATACAACTCACATTTTGGCAATGCGTCAGCCACCCAAGTGTGTCATTCTATCAGTTTTGATGACAGTGGACAGGATGGTAAATGGCACTCTGCTCATGAGGTTGGCAGACCACCGAGTTGATCTTAGGTCACCTCTGGGGATTGGTTTCCATTGGATTGCCTGATCTGCCATCTGGAAGGCCAGGCTTGTCATATTGTTTAAAATTCAGATTCAGGATGTGCTGTGCCACTTCTTGGAAGGCAAGGCTGTCAGCTCTTCACACAGTTAGTAATTGTTTACTATCCCTCGTCCTTAATGGGCATTTGAAGAGGTATGTTTTTATTTTTTTATTTATTTGTTTTTAAGATCTGTGTTTTTATTTTTCCACTCTTTTTTTTTTTTTTTTTCTTTTAAAGAAGTTTTTTTTTTTTATTCGAGTTAACATACTGAAGACGTATGTTTTTAAAGCAGAGGCTTGCTTATAGGGTGTTGTCATTGCTGCTATTTAACTGGATTCCTTTCCTTGCCTTTAAGTGGGAGGTAAAGGCTTCCAGTTATGGCAGGTCATTTTTTTTTTATTTCATTTTTTTAAAGATTTTTAAAATGTATTTATGAGTGAGAGAGAGTGAGCAAATGGGGGGAGGCAAAGGGTGAGGGACAAGCAGACTCTGCAAGTGCAGAGCCTGATGAGGGGCTTGATCTCGTGACCCTGAGATCATGACCTGAGCTGAAACCAAGAGTCTGATGCTCAACCAACTGAGCCACTCTGATGCCCCGATTTTTTTGAATTTCAACAAAGTTTATACTTAAAAAAAATAGTAACCTCCCTATCTACATGCAGGATTGTTTCATCTGTTTTCTAATCACCTAGGTATCAAAATATAAAAGTAGATACATCAGTTACATACATTTTCAATGTAGGAAGGTGAAGCCTCTCTGTGAGTGGAGGGAGTTCACTGCTTACAGAAGTTTTTGGAGAAGCTGGAGGAGTCACATCAGGGAGCTGTCCCTGGAGCTTTGAGTTCAAGGGCACAGCACGGTAGACATGCTTCAGTGGTTAGCAAAGTACAGCCACTACCATTGCCACCATATCTGCCTCTCAGGTCCAGGAAGCTGTTGCCTAGAAATGAGGACAGTGAAGCTGGGTGCTGGAATGGCTTCTAAAACACGCACATCTCCACGACTGATTTTCAGCAACTGGAAGGTCTCCTCTGCTCCTGCTTTCCATGCCTTACCAAGTGCATCTGTTCGGTGCAAATGGTGGAACTGAACCTCCATCCAGAACCGCCTTTACAAGGGAGGCTGGGGAGCGTAGCTTTAGCTCTCCATCCTGTTCACCTAGAAGGAGGATGGAATGGAGGTTAAAAGGCTAATAGACCCAGCAATTGCACTACTGGGTATTTACCCCAAAGATACAGATCCAGCGAAAAGAAGGGGCCATAAGTACCCCAATGTTCACAGCAGTGCCTACAATTGCCAAACTGTGGAAAGAGCCGAGATGCCTTTCAACAGATGAGTGGATGAGGAAGATGTGGCCCAAATATACAATGGAGTATTATGCCTCCATCAGAAAGGATGAATACCCAACTTTTGTATCAGCGTGGATGGGAATGGAGGGACTATGCTGAGTGAAATAAGTCAAGCAGAGAAAGTCAATTATCATATAGTTTTCACTTATTTGTGAAACATAAGGAATGTCATGGAGGACATTAGGAGGATAAAATGAAAGGGGAGAAGTCAGAGTGGGAGACAAACCGTGAGAGACTATGGACTCCAGGAAACAAATGGAGGGTTTTAGAAGGGAGAGGGGTTGGGGGTAGGATGAGCATGGTGATGGATTGCATGGAGCACTGGGTGTTATATGCAAACGACAAATCAAGGAACCTACATCAGAAACTAATGATGTACTATATGGTGACTAACATACACAATTTAAAAAAAAAAAAAAAGACCTAATATATACAATACCCACCAAACTAGTTTTGGTTGAAATCCTTGAACAGCAAACACCACTTAGTTAACATTACTATAAAACAAAAATAAATTATTATCTTCAAGCAGTGGGTGTTTTGTTTCAGGGACCATTTGGAAAAAGTTAAGGATTTCCCACTGATGTATATGTAGTGGAATTTGACTTCAGCAAACCAGAGAGTCTCACTTACATGAATGAGTCTGTATTTGATTCTGTGGATGTGCTAGTTCAGAAAAGGCTTTAGAGGTTCACGCCAGTGGGTTAATTGTAATGAGGAAAAAGCAAAAGTTGCTTTGGTAACTACTCTTCTTGAACCTTTAAGAAATTTGGATCTCTATGCATTGTCCGTATTTTAGTATCTCCATGTAGGCTTTGTCCTTTTCAGAGGATTCTTTCACATTTCCTTCTGGGAGTCTGAGGAGTGGTTACAGCACAGTTCTGCCAAACCTTTGCTATGGATTTTTTCCCCTATCTCCTGTCAAAACTTATTTTAATGAAAGAGAGACTCCTTTCCCTGAGTTAGGATCTAGAATCAAATCTAAAAGGAAAAGGATCACAGCTAATTTTTTGATTATCCATTGAAGTGCTACCTTCTAACAGTAGAAAGATGTTTCTATTATAAGTTGGTAAAGAGGGTTATATGACAATGATTTGGTACTTACTGACTTCCAGTATTTGAAGCTTAGCTCAGAATTTTCCTTCAATTTTTAAGATTGTCTGAAGTGGGTACTTCTGGGTGGCTCATTTGGTTAAGTGCCTGCCTTTGGCTTGAGTCATGATTCCAGGGTCCTGGAATCCAACCCCGCATCAGGCTCCCTGCTCAGCGGGGAGCCTGCTTCTCCCTTTGCCTCTGCCTGCTGCTCCCCCTTCTTGTGCTCCCTCTCTAACAAATAAATAAATAAAATATTTAAAAAAATTGTCTGAAAGGCACATTGCTTTTTGAGGGTTAGTGCAGTCCATGTTATTATTTGGTCTACAGTCTGGAGGCCCTGGGAGACATGTATATCATGTATTTATTAAGGCGTTAAAAACTCATGGGGCAGGCGCCTGGGTGGCTCAGAGGGTTAAGCCTCTGCCTTCGGCTCAGGTCATGATCTCGGGGTCTTGGGATCGAGCCCCGCATCGGGCTCTCTGCTCAGCAGGGAGCCTGCTTCCTCCTGTCTCTCTGCCTACTTGTGATCTCTGTCTGTCAAATAAATAAATAAAATCTTAAAAAAAAAAAACAAAAAAAAACACAAAACCTCACGGGGCGCCTGGTGGCTCAGTGGGTTAAAGCCTCTGTCTTTGGCTCAGGTCATGATCCCAGGGTCCTGGGATCAAGCCCCTCATTGGGCTTTCTGCTCCTCGGGGAGCCTGCTTCCCCCTCTCTCTCTTTGCCTGCCTCTGCCTACTTGTGATCTCTGTCAAATAAATAAATAAAATCTTTAAAAAAAAAACAACAAAAAACAACTCAGTGGGCTTCTTCAACAAAATAGACATTTTACAATGACTGGATTATATTATTTTCCCACTTTTTTTTTATAGTGAAACAATCATGTTCCTTCATGAAATATTTCACCAAGGATTGAAGGCAAGGATAGCAAACTGGCCTACTCTAATTTTAGGTAAGTCCATGCTTTAAAGATAAAAGATTTTCTCTTAATATGGCAACAATTTAAGTAAAATCGATTCAACATCATTCAGCCTATGCTGTCTGAATTTCCCTGTTGACCTGTGAGCTTCCTTGGGTACCAGGCTTCTGTTTCAGTGCCCCTCCAGCCCTTTTCTCTGGCCTGTCATGGCGCCTGTGGGGCGAGAGTGGTGCCCGGCTCCCCAGGGGTACTCTACCAGATCAGTCATTCATGCGTCTGAACTGGGGACCATGTGCACATGTGACCCTGGGGCTGGGAGCCGCTCTCGGCCAGTCCATGGAGTGAACAGAGTCCCTTCTCATCCCTTCTATAATTTACCGAGCACAAAGAGAAACTGCCATGTTCACTTTTCTTTTCCAGCCGATCTGTTCGATATTTTGCTCCCCATGTTGAACATTTATCAAGAATTTGTACGTAACCACCAGTACAGCCTCCAAGTGCTTGCCAATTGCAAACAAAACAGAGATTTTGACAAACTCTTAAAGCAGTATGAAGCCAACCCTGCCTGTGAGGGGAGGATGCTGGAAACATTCCTGACCTATCCAATGTTTCAGGTACGTCATCTGGGACGCATTGTAGAAGTCACTGACGGCAGTCTGGTTGGTGCTGATACCTCGGGTGACCAGAGCAAGGTGTGCAAGGGTGCCCTGTGGGGAATTAGGGCCCAAGTGCATCATCTGTCATCTTGAGCATGACACTGAGATAAACAAATACAGGCCACACGTTTTCTGTCTGTGTAGTACAGGAAAGGCAGGCTTTTTTTTTTTTTTTTTTTTAAACCAGGCATTTTGGAAGCAATTAAATCAGGAAGGTTTTTTGCAAAGTGGCACAATTTTCTCTTTACAGAAAGATTCCACACAGACTTCTTCCATGGAGGCTCCTCCTCCAGCATGTTTAAAAATATTACTGGGTTTACAGAAATAGGACACTGTGCAAAACTTTCAGTATCTGCTGGTTGCGTAAAAGACGCCTGAGGGGTGGAGGGGTGCAGGGAGAGGCTTTGTTTTCCTGCCCAGAGTCTCTGCCCTGTTCCAGTGGCTGTCGAAGCTGGTCTGGAGCTGGTCTGGAGCTCTGCGGAGCTACAGGAGGATGTGCCGGGTCACGGGCTGTGGACACGCAGCATCTGGAGGCACTGACTGGACTGGGGGACTCTTGGCCCCTAGTTGGGTTGCTGCACTGAGGCTGGAGCTTGTCACACCCCGAGGGCTTAGGCACACTTGTGTTCTTGCCTGTATCTAGGGCTTTCCTGCTAAGAGCCCTTGAGTGAGGACCGCAGAGGCCAAAATGTGGATTGAAGCTCCTGCTCTTTTGAAAAGTGTCGATTCTGTTCTTTTGGACAGGCATCGAGTGTTCTCGTTGTGGAATTTATGGGGCTTTTGGCCAGGTCCCCAGACTGTCATGTGGTAAACCGATTCTCTCAATCATGTGTCAGGGCTTCTGCAGAGAGCTTCTCCCCCCCTTGGACAGGCATCGCTGACCCCGGCCGATCGTCTTGGAGCCTTAGGAAGAAATGTTGCTCTGGTTCATGGTTGATGGTCCTAGAGTTTGTCTCTCCTGCTTGAAATCTTGGCAGTCACCACAGAGGTTTAGTAAGATTTTTAAAAACTAAAAGGATGCATCTGAAACAACTTAAATAGAGTGAAGCTGTATAATGTTATTGTGTTCTTTCATGGGACAGAGTTGTTTGAACTCTTTGCCCCTCTGAGGAAATATTTTGCAAGAAAAACTTCAGCACAAAAAAACAAGTTGCTTTTTTTTTAACCTTATAAAAATTGTAATTTAAGCTTTTACTTAAGTGATACAAACTTTATATGGTACAATGTTCTGAGATTCTGTTTGAGTTGTTGGCAGTTACCTTTATGATTAAACACCCAAAATTATATCTTTTTGGCAACTTCATCTCAGGTGAATATTCAAAGGGAGAGTTATGAAAGTCACATGGAACATTCAGGGAGGTACCTGGCTCCCTTTCTGGCAGCCCATTTATGTCTTCCCGAACCCTATTTAATTTCCTCTCGGTGTCATTCTCTCAGTGTTTTTTAAAATGCCGCAACTGCACTTGCACATTAGGAGAGGTGACCAAACACAGTAGACTGTAGGTCCTTGGAAAGCCCTTCAGATCCTCTTACAAAGGCTGAGATACTCTCCTGCCACCCGCCCTCCTTTGCCCTGGAGTATAAGCCCCGTAAGAATAGCTTGGCATTTTCATTGATTCCAAGGAATTCCCATAATGCAGGAAAGGACCATTGGACTGAGAATCTTTAGGAGACTTGGATGTCTTGCTCACTCTTCAGTTGTACCATTGAGGAAAATAATTGAACCATCTAAATCTTGGTTTCTTACTCTTAAAATTGAGGCACCTGAGCTCTAGTCATCTCCCATTTGACTTTGTGATCCTAGGGGGACTATATCAGTTCTGGAAGTTTGGGTAACTATGTGGCACTGCAAGGAGCCTGGTGTTTGTCCAAGAACCCTTACCCCAAGACTGCGGTGGCCCCAAACCCTAGAATTTAGCTGAAGGGTCAGATGTTGAGATTCTCTGGCTTCTTCCAGACCAAAGGCACTGGTTATGAGAGCCATTGTTCTGGTAGAAACCTCAAACTTGATTTTAGCTAGAGTTTGTCCAAACTGCAAGAAATGTACAAATTGAAAGAACATGGAATTGTGCTGTTTATTTGCTTCCCTATAACTATTTTGAACAGAGCAAGAGGGAAAACCATCAGAATTTGCTCCTAAAAGCCTCATTCTCCTTGGATGTCTCTTCTCTGTCTTATTGGCTTGGTGTCTCTTCTTCCTGCCTTCTCCGTAGGAGTGACCCTATGGGATACTTGGGGGAAAATTGCCCTTTCTAGAAGCTTGAAGGTTTTCTCTCACTAGATTCAATCTGTCCTTCTTGTTCCTTTTGGGTTCTTTCACAAATGAGTCATGGAAGCGTTGGCTCCCTCAGAGGATCTAACTGTTGCTACTTCCCCCTGCGTGCCTGTGCCATGGTATGTCGCCACCTCCACCTTGCTCTAGTGGATGCCAGAGGCGGAGGCACTATGGTTCTTTTGGTATAAGGCAGCAGTGGAGGAGCCTGACCCACCAAGGGCCCTCTGGCCAGACTTCTTGAGTCTAGACATGGTGGCAGAGATTGGTGTGAGCACAGGGGAGAGCCAATTGGCAATCTTTAGCCTGTGTATATTTAGAAGAGAAAAGTGTGGGGCACCTGGGTGACTCAGTCATTAAGCATCTGCCTTTGGCTCAGGTCATGATCCCAGGGTCCTGGGATCGAGCCCTGCATCTGGCTCCCTGCTCTGCGGGAAACCTGCTCGTCCCTCTCCCACTCCCTATCCTTGTGTTCCCTCTCTTATAGTCTCTCTCTCTCTGCCAAATAAATAAATAAAATCTTAAAAAAAAAAAAAAAGGAAGAAGAGAAAAGTGTGATTTCTGGCCTCTCTGTCAAGTCCATTGCTGCTGTTAATGTCCTATGTTGAGCTATAGAAGCATGGAGGAAATGTAGAATTTGGATGATAGTTCAGTTTGTCCTCAATTGAACTATCAGACCAATAAGTCCAAGTGTTGCCAAGAAAAAAATTTGTTATGGAAAATAATGTAGTCACTAATATAATTTTTTAATTAGCAAAGACAGTGGCTTAATGGGTACTGTTTAAATTGGCTTCAGCTGCTCATAAGCCCATTGGGAAGCCGATCACGCAGTCTGCCCCCGACGAGGACAGTGCTATGAGATGTTCTCCAGAAAGTAGCCACTTGCAGCTCTGGCCACCTAGTCCCTGTCATTGGAGAGCAAGTTAATTAATGTCTACAAAGTGACAAGTATTGTTCCGTAACTAAAAGGAGAATCAAGATTCGTCTGGAGTGCACTTAATGTGATTCTTGGTTTCTGGTGGGGAACGGATTTCTAATCGGCTCTTGAATATACACATGAGCTCTGTGGAGAGTCGTCCACTTCTCTGCAGAACATCCTTGCCTGGCTTTTTAGCAGCTTCAGGCTTGTTTGTTCCTCCACCAGAAAGGAGAAAGGGCCAGTCTCTGAATTTCAAATCCATCTACTTGAATCTTAGCCAAGGAGCTCTCTAAAATAGATTTAATTAATGGGGAAAGATCATGAAGCTATTGACTAAACTTAGTTTTGTGGGTTTTCAGTGCCTGCATTTTAAGTGTCAGGCTCTCCCACTCCTGCCTTCTTTGTTATGAAAAATGTAGTGCATTAGCTGTTGATTGCCTGGATTTTCTTGGAGGACTGCTGACTTAGAAGCAAACTGGTATCCATCATGGCGTTGTGCAGAAGAGATTTGTGAAAGTCTACGTATCCCAGGGGCCTTTACCAGGGAAGGTTTTATGGAATGGAGAGACAGAAAGGGTCCTCCCCATGCTGTACAGGGGGAGGGATCTCCCTCCTCTATGGAGTCCGTTTGTGCTTCCAAAACCTTGATGTGATGACATCCCCTAGGATGCGGTCCCAGAGTATCAGGGCAGATCCATGTGTGTGCTGACGGCACTGGCCTTTGTGCTCATGCATAAATATGGGCCTTCAGCAGACGATATTGAGTAACCTGGTGAAGGCCACCACCTGCACGAGAGCAAAAGCAGACCTATGGATTGAGCTGCCAACACCTCGGGACAAGATGGAAGGCACTAGCCACAGCACCTTGGGAGGCTGTGTTACTTCCATCATTCTCAGAAGTCCTTTCGAGGGCCCACCCAGTGAGACGCCAGGCCCCACAGAAGAGACCCAATGGGCTTGTGCACCAGTGAGAGCCATGATGATGGCTGGCTCTGGCATTGACTGTGAGACCACCTTGGGCAAGTTACCGGACACAAAGCTTCACAGTTTGTTTCCACCTTTTCTCTATAAAATGGGGAAATAACCCTTACATTGCTGTGAAGATTTGGGTTGCCCTCTCCAACCTGGAGCTCCAATCTGACCCATAGTGGGCAGTGTTACAGTACCTGCTGTTCGAGCATGTTTTTTTTTTTTTTTAAGATTTTATTTATTTATTTATTTGACAGAGAGAGGGTCACAAATAGGCAGAGCAGCAGGCAGAGAGCGAGGGGGAAGCAGGGTCCCTGCCGAGCAGAGAACCTGATGCGGGGCTCAATCTCAGGACCCTGAGATCATGACCTGAGTCGGAGGCAGAGGCTTAACCCACTGAGCCACCCAGGTGCCCCAAGCATGTTGTTATTAAAATTAATCCCAGTGCCCCAGTTTTCTAAGAAATTTTAGTATGTAAGCCAGTAGAAAATGAATATGTAGGATTGCTATGAGTTGTGTTACATCTCTATGAGTTCTGTTAAAACCTTCATAGGGCTGGTGGAGTTTCTGCTTTTGACAGAATTCAGATAGTTTATCCAGAAACAAAAGTATAAGTAAATAATGTAATTAAACCATATTTTTACTGCTAGAAGGATGAGTTAAGGTAAAGTAGGATGAGAATGTGATAAAAGTAAATATATCTTCTCTCAAATTTTTATTCTTCAAGAGAACATTGCAGTAGGATTATGAATTTAAAAACAAAAATTGTGGGGTTGCCTGGATGGCTCAATCAGTTAAGCATCTGGCTTTGGTTTAGGTTATGATCTTAGGGTCTTGGGATTGAGCCCCATGTGGGGCTCCCTGCTCAGCCGGGAGTCGGCTTGTCCCTCTCTCTCTCTCTGTCTGTCCCTCCTCCCACTCATGCTCTCTCTCTCTCTCTCCAGTAAAAAAAATCATGAACAAATGTATCTAAGTAAAGCTTGCGTGACTTGATAAACAGTGCATGTTTCCCTATGAACCAATTTTCAAATCTTACGATTAAGAAATATATGATTATATTTAAAAAACCTAAAGAAACAAGTGTTTCTTTGGAACATAATGTTTTGTCACTCTTCTCTAGTGTTCTTGATGAATGTGTGTGTGTGTATGTGTGTGAAGTTTGAAGCATAGTTCATTTCAAAACTGTAGAAGTAGAGATGCACTTCTCCGACATGTTGACGGCCCAGGAGAGAACGTCCCAGGGCTGCTCATCCTGACCTCTTGCTCATGCTGGCCTTATTTACGTTTAGATCCCTAGGTATATCATCACACTTCATGAACTCCTCGCTCATACACCCCACGAGCATGTGGAAAGGAAAAGTCTGGAGTTTGCTAAATCAAAACTAGAGGAACTGTCCAGGTATGTGGAGAACGTATGATAAAGGCTTGTTTCAAGAAAGCAGCACGTTAGTCTCTGTGGAAATCTACTATATATATATCTGTCTAGGGAACAAGAAGCAAGACACAGTCCAGCTTCTCAGGTTCGCCTGAATGTGAAACACTAGCCCTTCAGATGGTGCTGAATCAATATACACATTAATTTTAACCAAGAGTAAAATACACCTTTGAAAATGTTTTTATAGCATGTGGGTTTATGTAATTGAGATTATAGGTGCATTTGGATTTAAGTTTGAAAATGTTATCTTTGCATAATAGGAAAATGATTTTTAGTTGTGTTTTTGTGTTCATATTTGGCAAGAAGCTAGAGAATGTGTATTGGATTTTTTATGACTTTTCAGTTTCAGTGAATTATTTACATCTGTGTTCCTTTAGCTTATATGGAATAAATAGTATAGAGTTCTCTAATTTGTTCCACCTCTAAGAAATGGCATTATAATTTCAGTGAAGGGAGGTGTTCATAAAATAATAGGTTGCTTTCCTGTTGCATTTATGAACAGCATCCCCAGGGTCCTCATTGGTCGCTGGCCCACTTGTCATTTTGAACCGTAATGTACATTCGCTTTGGTCTGAGTCGTGGCCGCTTGAAGCCTAGAGGTCTGCTCTCCCCACAGCCCCAGTTACACTGGTCCAAGTTCAAAACTGAGCTTCCCAGGTAGCGCTCTTTGCGTACCGGCTCAGGCTATAGAAAATCTCTCTCCCTGTGGTCTGTCCGTGCTGTGTCTTGACAGGATAATGCACGATGAAGTGAGCGACACTGAAAACATAAGGAAGAACCTTGCCATAGAAAGGATGATCGTAGAGGGCTGTGATATTTTGCTGGACACCAGCCAGACCTTCATCCGCCAAGGTAAGTCCTCGTTCGGTGGGCCCGTGGTCTTGGCGATGTCTCTGACTGTCACATTATCACCGGCAGATCCCGGAAGGCATTTTGGAGCAGGCTTAACGTAGCTGTGCGATTGATGCTGTCCACGCAGGACAGCCCCATGGCCTTGACCGAGGCTGTGGTTGAGGCCCACCTTTGTGCTGTTTCTTTTCAGGGGCCATGAAAAACAGCAACACAATAATAGTAAAGCACGAGTGGGACAGTAAATTACATTCTGACTGGACTCTCCTCCTCAGTGGACCAGACATTCTCTACAGCTCCAAGGAGGACAGCTCGGTCTGGCCGATGAGAGTGGCAGTGCCGGGTGGCGACGATTTGCAGGCCAAGGCCCAAGAGAAACTTGCGTTACTCAAAGCCCTCTCACATAGCGGTGGGGACAAGGTCCGAAGTGAACACAGCTGTCTCTTGTTCCCCTTCTTCATCAGCACTTCTGGATCAGCCCCACATGATATGATTTGATCCTCTTGGCAACTCTAGTTGCTCAGGGAAATGTCTCTTGACCCCTGCCAGGCTTGGGTGACGGTGAATGTGTCTTGTCTGTGGGATGGGTACTTTGCCAGCATCACTTAGTATACGAAGCTTATGAAATGTTGACACAGTGGAGAAGCAGCAGCCTCGCAGCGCATCTCCCTTCAGGGCCGGGAACCTCATCCTAAGTCCCTTTTCGTTGCTCAGGTGTTCAGAGGGAAGGGAGCATGCCCCATGGAGTTGGTTTGTGACGATAACGTTGCGCACGTTTGTAACTTTGAACTTGGTGGCATATACCTTTAGAACTAGGATTAACCTTTAATGTGTTTTCTGTTCCTAATGTGCCAATATCGCTTGAAGGTATTTGCATTTCCGTTGCCTACCAAAATGTGCTGCTTAGCATTTTTTTTTTACCTCATCAAACAAGACATTGTTTGAGCTGCAAACATACATTTTTTGCACAGAATACTTGAAAAAATGTAACGCGTGCTGTTCTGTTTTCCATGATTTATTTACAGAGAGAGAAATGACACATATGTTAACGTTTGGAAGTATATTTTAGGAAATGATAACTTTTCTCATTTTTGACTTTTGATAGTGATTTTTCTTTAAATCTAGTGGAATATAATGCTAAAAAACATCAGGCCTTCCTAACCCCCTCTGTTCCTCCGCACAGAGTGTGTCCACACATGGCTTCCTGCCTTCCTGGCCCTTGCCTGGCTCTGTGCCTTCCCGTGCGCTGTCCCCAGCTTGGGGACGGGGACTGCCCTTATCCATCCCTTCTGTGCCTATCAAAGTTTGGCTTGTCCTTCCAGGCTCAGGTCAGACTCCTCTAGGGAGCCTTTTACAATTTTCTTCTAATCTTATTCTCCCCTTCCCTCCAGTTAGAATGAATTTACCTTCCTCCTTGTTTTGAGGCCCCTCCCTCCTCACGCATGGGTTTCATCCTCTTGTTTATCACAGGTACACGTTGGCACGCTTGTCACTCCCAGCCATTGTAACTCTGGAGGGCTGTGTTTATGAATTCTCTCCTGTCTTATATGCTGCTTTCCATTATACATACCTGAAAGACGGGCATTGGAGTAAATTGAATTGCTTGTTGAATTGCAGTTTTGGTTGTTAGATGTCTTTTTCTGTATTTTTCTTGTATTTGGAGTTCGTGAAAAAAATACTAATTGACTAGAGCTTTATAATACGTGAGAATGCAAACAAATGTTTCTGTAACTAGTATTTTATTTCTGAAAGGTCTTTTGATTGAAAAGTAGTATTATGCATAAATATTTATTTCTACAAACTTAGACTGCTCTTGTCTAAGTTCGAAAAAAGACATCTCTAATGAAAAATGCTGGAAGGCCGAGTATATTGAATAAGTCATTTTTTTTCAATGCACCTGGAGGAAAAGCACTCACGAGCTGCCTCTCCCTTTGATTCCTGTCCAGATGTTATTGGTTGCCTGTTTGTGCCCCATGTTTAAGCACTTCTGTCAGCTATTAAGATATCTAATGTTATTATTGTATTGATGTTGATACATGATTTGTCTTTACAGTATTTTTCTGTATTTGGCTGGTTAGTGTGTTTAGGAATTATTCAATAAAGTTGGTTTTAAAAAACCAAACCTGAATCTGAAAGTAGAAAGGAATCCAATTTTACATAATTTGGGAAGTGTACATTGTTTTGCTTTGGTTGTTCCTGTTATCACTTCTCCTAAATACCCTTAACAGTCTTTAAGAAACCCAGTGAGGTGGGTTTCTTATCCTTTTAAACTTTGAAGGATTCTATTTTTTTTTTTAAAGGGACTACAGCTTAGCTCTAATTGTCCACTGGTATTTGTGTTATATACTTTAGGGATGGTATGAGGTACATTTCAGAGTGTGTGTGTGCGTGTGTGTGTGTGTGTATGTGTGTGGGGGGGTGCGTGCACAAATATATGTGTAGTTTCGATCTTAAATGAATTCTTGTTCTGAGGACTAGAAAAAAGAGGCCATCGAGGTCATCCAAAAGATCTCCTTGGGATAGGGGCATCAGCTAATCTCAACTGTCAATCTGTGGGAATTTACTGATTGAAATAACAGAAGCTCTGTTATAAATTGTTTCTAATTATTTTTTTTTTTTTTTTTAAAGATTTTATTTATTTATTTGTCAGAGAGAGAGAGGGAGAGAGAACGAGCACAGGCAGACAGAGGCAGAGGGAGAAGCAGGCTCCCCACAGAACAAGGAGCCCGATGCGGGACTCGATCCCAGGACGCCGGGATCATGACCTGAGCCGAAGGCAGCGGCTTAACCAACTGAGCCACCCAGGCGTCCCAATTGTTTCTAATTATTAAACAGTTGATGAGCAGGATGGAAAGGACTATATCGTATTGTGGTCAGATAATGTCATTTATTTTCTAAAATCTACTCAAAGTTTGTTGAACTAAAGTGTAAGAGTCCGAAGCAATAATAGGGAGGCAGTATAACCATGTCACTGGAGGTCAAATCCTGCGTCCTCTACTTCCTCGCTGAAGGATACTGGGCAATTTACTTAATCTTCCTTTGCCTCAGTTTGCTCTCCTTACATTGGAGTTAATAGTACCCAGCTTTTAGGGATGTGGTGAGGATTACACGAACTAATGGGACTCCAAGAGCATCTATCTAGACTAGTGCCTGTGAGAGTATGACGTAAATTTAAAAACCAAGATCTAAATTTTGGAATGAGTTTCTGTTTTTCAATAACATAAAATATATATGAATATTCAGTAGATGATAAGGTGCTCTAAATTGACATTTTGCACTAAACCCATTTTGCATAGTTAACGTCTTGTGGAAATGTGAATCAGGATCCTTAAGTGAAGGTGACCAAGTTCAGAGCTAAATGCTTTGAGAATGAGACCTAGACCTCTGTGGTATCTTAATCATTCCCAGACTGGAAATTATGTCCTTTCAGTATAGCAGTGTTCTTTGGAATTGTAATATGGGGTCTGGAAATAATTGTACCTTCTCAAATACCTAACCAAATAACCTGGAAATGGCTCTTCGTTGCTTCTCAGTACTGAGTAGAATGAAGAATAAGGTCATTACCCAGTCTTGAATGCCGCTCTTTTGGAATTAGTGACTGAATTAACAGAAGCTTTGTTGTAAATTGCCCCAATTATTAGGTTGACCAAGGATAGAGATGCAAGAGACTGTGTTGCAGCAATGGCCTGTTATTGAGGAATTACTGATTTAATACTAAGTATTCCTTTAATTTGTATTAACTAGAGAGGAGTCTCCAAGTCTTATAGTTGTGTTGAAATACCAGGTCAAACTTAAAATGAAATGTGGAAAAAAAAAAAAAAAGCCACCTAACGTGTTTTTTCCCTTATGATTATTTTATAAACCAAATAATGGTGTTGAAATTGCTCACTTTTTATACTGATGTATAGACTTCTGTATATACCTAATGTACATAGTGAGATGAACAGTTACAGATCAAGCAGATTAGCATGTAGTTACCAAGGAAACATTTATTTATTTTTTTACCTGAAAGGTGAAAATAACAGTATTACTAGTATATGAGCTAACAGTGTATTCTGTAATTTCTGTTTAACAAAATCATTAAATGCTAGAAGCGCTTAACAACACACGGTATTAAGTCTTAATGAACTTGGCTTATAACCTTTCTGAAAACGACTCCTACACCTGTTTATCCACCAGGATATTTGTCTTAAGGTCCAGGCTTTCACTCTGCCCTAAATGATCTCACCACCTCTCATGGCAAAGCTAGAATGTACTGTCTTCTCCTCTCCGATCCCTTTCCAAGGATCAGCTTTAATGTTGCTGAATCCGCCACTGTCTCCTGGCGGTGCCACTCACTCTGATGTGATCTTAAGAGAGCTGCTTAGCCCCTTGGGCCTCAGTTTCCCCTTCTTTTGAATGAGGGACAAACCAGGTCCTCTGAAAGAACTCCTCTGGCTTTCATTCCAGCTCCGGAGCCCCATGAGTACAATCTTTCTGCTATTACTCACTCATTTACTTCTCTAGGCATTCTGCCTTCTGCTCTGCACACCCCCCCTCCTTTACTCTTGAAATTTAATTACTTGCTGCCTGCGCTCTCTGACAGCTTCCTCCCACTTGCCTCACCTCCTCCTTCCCCTTTCCCCTTGCCCATTCCCTTCAATGGAATCAAGCCTTCTCCTGCCCCGTGTTCCCCAGTCCCACGCCCTCCCCCAGGACTCCTTCTGTGCTATCTTTGCCCCACCCCCCAATAGCTGCCTACTTTGTCTCTGTCAGGCAGCCCCACCTAAGCACTCACCTGAATAGATGGAATCTGCTCCTGGAGGCTTGGGTCCACCCCCATCCCCACCCCACCCCCGCCCCCCCATTTCTTCACCCTCCCCCACCCCCCCCACTTCTTTAGATCTCTGTTAAAGTAGATGATATTTGAAATATTCATATGCTAATGTGAACATTTTGTGACCCACAGTCATAGTTTTACCATTTAACATATATGAACCATTTTAGTGGGGTTTTCACCACTTATGGAAGTAATCTGTGCTCATTAAAAAAAAAATCAAGAATTGCAGAAAATGTATGAGGCGGAAACGAGGTTGCCTGCAATCTTGTTTTTTAGTGCTGAATCCTGTTAATAGTAAAGGGTTGGATATGCATTTAATGGTTCTTATGAGACTGATATGTGCCTTTGTAAGGCTGCATTTAGGGTAGGTGGTAGATTGAACAAATAGTAGAAATATTGCTGACTCAAGGTAGTTCAGAAGTCAAGGTATTTACAAGAATCTTTCCTAGTACTTTTTGGTTTGATATCTAACTTAGATTGGAATTTTATTTTGTGGGGAGAGGAAGTCATTATTAGGGTGAAATTATAAAGTATCTGTACAGCTTCTCACATTGAATGGAAGACAGGTTTGCTCACAGGAATGCTCTGGTTTAGACTTTATGACTCTAAAGTTTCCATAGATTCCACAAAGAATTTTTCTCACACTTTATTTGTTTATTAATATTTTATTTGAGAGAGATAAAGAGTGCACATGAGAGCCCAAGTGGGGAGGAGCAAAGAGAGAGAGAGAACCCAAGCAGTCCCTGCACTTAACACAGAGCCTGTGCGGGGCTTGATCCCACAACTAAGGTCATGGCCCGAGCTGAAATTAAAGTCAGACACCGAGCCAACTGAGCCACCCAGGCGCCCCATCACACATAATTTAAATATAACCTGAAACAGCTGCCCTTTAAAAATTTAACTAAATTGCATTGAATTATATAATCTGTGTATCTTTATGATATAAATGCATTGTAAATTTTATTTTTTAAATACAAGGTAAACTCTACTAATATGCTCCTTGTCTACCTTCCTGACCTCAGGAAGAATAAATTCTATTTTCTTCTCATTATGTTGTTATTATTATCATGTGTAATTATACAGTATTATCTTATTCTTTTTTTTAAAGATTTTATTTATTCATTTGACAGATCACAAGTAGGCAGAGAAGTAGGCAGAGAGAGAGAGGGAGAAGCAGGCTCCTTGCTGAGCAGAGAGCCCGATGTGGGGCTCAATGTGGGGCTCGATCTCAGGACCCTGAGATCATGACCTGAGCTGAAGGCAGAGGCTTTAACCCACTGAGCCACACAGGTGCCCTTATATCTTGTTCTTAAGTAAATAAATGAACTGAGATCGGATCACCAAGGGACAGATGGAAGAAGTGCCTTGTTTGAGTTCCAGTTTGGCTTTCTTTCTAACTTATTTTAAAGCTTATAGATGAATAATCAAGTCTGAGGTGTTTTACAAAAGTCATAGGGATTACTTGGACCCTTAAAACTGGTTCCTTGTCTCTTCCGCTCTGAGTGTAGTGGGGGTTTACTTCCAGTGGTGCGTCAAATAAGTCCTTGGTATTTTGGGAAACAGGCCCTAGAGTGTGTTGCATCAAGAACAGCTCTCACTTGACAGAATTTTAATTGCTGTGTATTCTTCACTTTTGTGATCACCAGGTTCTCTTATTCAAGTACCTTCTGTTGAGAGGGGGAAACTTAGTAAAGTTCGCCTGGGTTCATTGTCTTTGAAAAAGGAAGGAGAAAGACAGTGCTTCTTATTTACAAAACACTTTTTAATTTGTACGAGAAGCTCAGGAGGAAAGCTCCATCTGCTGAAGGTATGGGTTTACATGACTATTCCACTTAATGTCCATGCACTTGAGAGGCACAGAGATTAATTTAATTATGGCTTCCCCATGCCTGGTATCCTAAAACCCACATTGTCACAGGTGCATAGTGAGACACTGTGCAGTTGCTAAGCTTGACACGCTCTTTGTTGTCAATTTTACCCAAAATGATAGAAATGTAAGTGTGTATTTTCATAAAGAAGTGCAATTAAAGTCATCACCTGGAAAGAACGATTACTATTGAGCTACAAAAATCCTGTTAAATCACTACAGTGTACTGATCTAATATTTGCTAACTGCTATTTTACCTTGCTTTATCAGCAAACCACGACCCATAGCCCGCTGCCTGTTAATAAAGTTTTATTGTCACACAGCCCTGTTCCGGTGTTTACATATTGTCTGGCAGCTCCCATGCTTTTTAAAATGGCAGATTTGAGTAGCTGCAGTAGAGATCATATGGCTTGGAAAGCCTCAAAGATTTACTGGCTGGCTCCTTATAGGGAAAGTTTGCCGATCTGTACCTTCTCTTGGTAGTGCCTGACTTCTTACCCGGCGCCATGATGATGGCTTTCCACCACGTGCAGCGCTTCCTGGTGGGTGGGCTCAGTTGCACTCATTCTCAAGGTGCCAACTGGTCTCCCACAGACCGACTTGCTCAATTTATAAAACACCGGCAGTGAGAGTGGGTTGGGGGAGAAGAATCATGAGGTTCAGTGAGTGTCATTACTTTAACACAACCAAATTTAGTTTTGGAATCTATGAGAAATTATTTCTGATGCAGAACTCTTGTGGTTTCTTCTGTGGCACTTTGAATCAAAGGTTTATAAATCTGAGCTTCCCAACGTATGCAGGACTGTCAGCCTCTTAATGAAAAATTGGTTTGTTTCCAGACAGGTGGGGTTCTCTCACTCATAGAATGTACGTTGATTGAGGAGCCCGATGCGAGTGATGATGACTGTAAGTCACATTCTTTCTCTTAGAATTATGGTAGAATAACAACGTCTTGTAGCTAAGAAGGGCTGTTGAGGAGACAGGGAAGATGTTGAGAATATGCTCCCTGAAGTCATTTCTACATGAAGAGTTCTGTTGAATCATTTAACCTGTGAACTTCATAAAACCATCTTTAGGAGTTCATATTTTACTGAATTTGTCTCATTTTTCACTGGCAGACAGAGAAGAAAGGAATTGAACTAGAGAGAGTTGGAATTCTATATATTATGGAAATTTTTTTAAAAAGGAAAGAAAACAGGAAATGAGTAGGAGCCCGGGATCTTAGTCCTGAGGAACGGGCTGACTTCAGCTTCCTTATCTACTTCTGAGCTTAGTAAGGGGTTCCCCTTGCCCGAGAAGTACTATGTTGCTGAAATGAGATTATGGATTTGAACACACATCGATCCTCTTACTAGAACTCTGTGAAAGTGGCTATCACCCGTATTTTTGTATTCACATCTAATTGTTTGCTTTGCATGTGTTGAAGCCAAAGGTTCTGGGCAAGTATTTGGACATCTGGATTTTAAAATAGTAGTGGAGCCTCCTGATTCTGCCCCTTTCACTGTAGTCTTGTTAGCACCTTCACGCCAGGAGAAAGCTGCCTGGATGAGCGACATAAGTCAGGTAAGCCAGTGGCATTTGCTGCAAGTTGTATTGTTTTTTAATTTCACCACATAAATTGGGGGGGGCAGATTTTTAGTTATTTTGTTTTTATTAAAAAATTTACTTCTGGTTGCTGTGGTCACTGCCATCACCCCTGTGTATCTTGTTAGCTGGGACCATTTGTTATTGTTGTTTGTTTTTCTTTGTAAGGTTGAAATTTTCCTGAAATGTGGCACTTGCTTGTTAATTCCTGGGCATTTTATACAGGCTGTAAGTGTGATCAGTTGTGTTAAAATTGCCCTATTAGTAATAAATTCTCCAGTGACCCCCATTAGATCATCTTTGGCTTACTTGTTCCTGAGGCAGGAAAATGGTGAGAGATACAAAAGCAGCTAATTTGTGAGAAGTCACAAATTAAAGAATCATATCAAAGAAGAGAGACTGTCTGTAGTAGGAAACCTGAAAATGAGCTTTCCTGTATTTTATATGGAAAGAAAGTAGGAAACAGATTTGTTTACTTTTCCTTGATCAACAATGCCCAGTGAAGGAATTGCTGCATGTATTCAGAAATTGGAAATATGTCAAAACTAGTTGTGATTGGGCTTAGTTGTTCCTAAATTGAAGTCCACATTAATTTTTACTCCATTAGCCAATATAGGAGAAAAATGTTCATGTAAGGCAAATATTAAAAGAAGACTTGGTCATTATTTTCTGTTATTAACTCAAGGAAGATAGGGGCAAATGGATAAACCATATACTGTAGATTCAAATGCCTTCTTTTTTTCTGAAGAGCTCATAGTAATTTATATACAAAACTTAGGTAGAAATGTGAATTTCTTCTGAGTGACTGAAAACTGAGGAACAATAGACAATGGAGGGTGAAATAATTTTTTTATATGTCAAAAGAAATTTTATAGACTTAATCTCATTTGATCCTGACAATAGCATTCTGAAGGTAAAGAGAAGTATCAGCCCGTTTCACAGGTGAGGAACCTGAGGTTTGGAAGGCTAAGTGTCCAGAGTTACACAACTGCTTTGAGTCAGGAGTCAAACCTAATCCAGGTCTTTTATTAGCATTCTAAACATCCTCTACAGGAGTGCTGGATTTTTGCCTATATACCCCCAGGACTCCTCTGATGGTGAATAAATAGCTTGAAGAGAAGGCGCCCCTTTTCTGGTCAAAAAAAGAAAGAAAATGGGGGATCTTCTGTATTTGCATAATTATATCCATGTGGTGATTTATTAATCCTTTCATTAGCTCTGTGCTGTATGACTTAATACTTTAGTCTCTGTTTGTAATACATCTCTTCCCTTATGAAACTGCATCAGTCACTGGTTCTATGAATGTATGTTGAGCAATCAGCATGTAGTGCCAGGTATCACGCGGATATCAGGGATACAGCGATGATTCCTGGTCCCAAAGAGCTAGGCAGACCAATAGGGAAGAAAGGTCGGTGGACAACTTAACGCAACAAAATTTGGCAGGTGTTGTGAAGCCAAGATAAGTAGAAAGGATGGTGAGAAAAGGAGGAGGCAAAGGTGTTTTTCTAGCTGCTTCTAGCTTCTACCTCGTTGCACAACTGGGGCTCCTAAGATACAGAATTGATAAAAGCCCCAAACCTTCATTAGCATGCCTGGAGACGCATTTTTACGAAGGAAGGATCCTTGGGTGCATGGATGATCCCATAACTGTTTTTTTAAAAGAAAGGGTACAATGCTTTGTCTGCCATAAGCATCCAAGGGGGTCTTCCCACTTAGGCTCCATCTTGAGGCAGAAGTATACAACTTCTTCATATTTTTACCTGAGTCTCTATGGCTAATATGTTAAATTCTTCTAGACTGTATCTACAAGTGAACTGGAGAATAAGGCTAATAGAAAGTTCTGTCTTTTTGAGTGACAATGATATAATTCATGAAATTACTATGTTTGATGGAGCCTTGATGTTGTGTGGCTTTAACATATATTATTTCATTCATTCAACAAATATATTTATGCAGTGATAGTATATGCCAGGCACTGCTTAGACACCTGTGATACATCATGAACAAAAGAGGTAACAACAACAAATTCTCTGACCTTTTTTTTTTTTAAAGATTTTATTTATTTATTTGACAGACAGAGATCACAAGTAGACAGAGAGGCAGGCAGAGAGAGAGAGGGAAGCAGGCTCCCTGCTGAGCAGAGAGCCCGATGCGGGACCCGATCCCAGGACCCTGAGATCATGACCTGAGCCGAAGGCAGCGGCTTAACCCACTGAGCCACCCAGGCGCCCAAATTCTCTGACCTTTTGACTTTACATTCTAGCCAGAGGGATTTTGAAAATAAACAGTAAATGTAATAAGTAAGTACCTACTCTTTTAGGCTAGAAGGAGATAGGACAGGGTAGGAAAGATGGCGCTACTGGGGGTAGGTGTGGGTCAGTACACTTTTTAAAGATTTTATCTATTTACTTGAGAGAGAGTAAGAGAGCATGAGAGGGGAGAACCAGACTCCCTGCTGAGCATAGAGCCCAATGTAGGGCTCAATCCCAGGACCCCGAAATCATGACCTGAGCCGAAGGCAGTCGCTTAACTAACTGAGCCACCCAGGTGCCCCCAGTACACTTTTTAAAATGGTGGTCCCCTCAGGCTGCAGGAGACCTCTGAACAGACACTGTAGCAGGTGATGGAAATACCATGTAGATATGTGATGAAGGGAAAGTCATTTCAGAGAAAGGGAAGAGCCATTGTGAAGACTCTGAAGTAGGAAGACACTGCCTATTTTGAGGAATAGCATGATGTCAGTGTGGTTGAAGTGGAAGGTATGAGAGGGAGAATAGGAAGAGAGGAAGTCAGGGAGGTAACAGAGGTCCAACCGGTGGTGGGGTGGGGGGGTTGTGCCCTGGTACAGCTTTAGCTTATACTCTGAGTCAGATGAAAAGCTGTTAAAGGGTTTGACAAAGGAATTTCATGATCTGACGTAAGTTTTAAAGGGATCGCCTTGCCTGCTGTGTTGCACGTAGAATGGGAATGAAGGGCAAGAGTGGCAGCAGGAAGCTGAATGAGAAGCTGTTGGTGTAACCCAGCGAGAGTTCCTGAAGGCTCAGATCAGCATGGCAGGAATGGAACTGGAGATGAGGGTTGTGATTCTGGACTCATTTTGAAGGGAGAGCCAACAGGGTTTTCTTATGGCTTTTCCTTGGGGTGTGAGAGAAAAAGAAGAATCAAGGGTATCTTCAGAGTTTTTGTTCTGAGCCACTGAAGAATGGAGTTGTGATTAACAGAGGTTTCTGGTGAATGTCAGAAGCTTACTTTAGGTAGGTTCAGTTTCAGAAGGCTGTTAGACACATTTGCATGGAGTTGTGATGTAAGAAACTCATTAATACTGAGTTGTTAAGTGAGCAGCAGTCCAGCATTTGGGGAGAGGTTCAGGTGAGAGAGTCTGTGTCATTTAGGTTGTGTTTAAGACTGTGAGAATATTGAGACCACCTAGGGAGTAAGTAGAGATAGAAATGAGAAAAGGGCCATGGACTGAGTTAGGAGTCGTAGGGAACAGCAAAAGGACTGAGAAGGTTCCACTAGTGTGGTAGGACAGCCCTGAGGGTATGGTGTCTTGGAAGTCAAGTGAGGAAAATGTACCAAGAAGGATGGAGCGGTCACGTGTCTACTGCTACTAAGGGCTGAGTACAGTAGTGAGTGCTCTGAGGTTCTTAGCGATTTTGCCAGTGCAGGGTTTGATTAGTGGGTTGTAGGGACAGAGTGCTCCACTGTTGATTGAGCCTAGCCTGCCGCCTAGCAGCCTGCATCTCAACTGGCTTTGTTCTCTGCTCAAAGCATTTTCGTTTTATGGGGGACATTATGCGCTATACATACACTGATGGTTATTTGTCAGTCTCCCAGTGTGTCTGTGGACATATTCACTATTAATAAGATGAGCCCACTGAATGCTGGAAAATGTACTGTTTAATATTTTATTATGTATATGTAAAAATTTGGACATAAAAAGGAGCTAAAAATACTGTCAACATTCAGCCCACCAAATTAATATTTATCAAAGTATTGCCACAGATAACTGGTAGAATTGCCTGAGGGTTTTTGCAAACTCACAGGTTCCTGAATCTACGTTCCAGACAACCTCCCCCCACCCAGGTTTAACAAGCTCCACAGGTCACTTTAGCTAATTAAATAGGAGGACCTTTGCCCTGAAAATCAGTGGTTTCCACTTCTAAAACCTCCACAATCCTGCCATACAGAAATAATTTTGCAGTTTGCCTCCCAGTGTATATATACATCATTTTCATGTTTTACCTCATTTACATCTTCCTGTATTCCTGAGGATTCTTCATATTGGTGTCTTTGAGTGGCCACACACATGCGTGTGCACACACACGCGTGCACACAGTATCACATTAATATACCACTTTTCCACCTTTTCCCAAATAGTTGGATATATTCCAGGTTTTAGCGTTAACAAGTGTTGTGGTACTAAACATTGTTATACAGGGAGTTACTCTCCCTTTCAGGTCCCTATTGGCATATCTTCTCTACAGAAAGTAAGGTTGGTATAGAGGGTCTGGTAACTTCCATGACTTCATGATTCATGACTTGACAGACTGCCAAAGTGCAAGAAATCTGTGACTCATCATTTCAGTACATCATCGGCAAAACATCTGTGCAACTTTTTTCTAAGTCCTGTGCCATTGTTGAGTTTTGTCGTATTTATCACATCTTCCTATCTCGTGGAAAAGTAGTGTGATTCTCTACTGATTTTAATTTATATTTCTATAACTATCAATGAGATTAATATTTTCTACCATTTCTCTTTCTTATCTGTTTATGCCAGATGGACATTGATTCATTGGCGCTATCCCTACAGACTAGGGAAATAAACATTTTCCTTCAAGTCATATTATGAATGTGTTCCCCATTACTTTGTCATTTTATTTTTGTCCCTCTGTTTTGCTAGATCTTAATTTTTTTGTGACTTGATTTGAAGCCACCTGGCTAAATTACTGCACCATGTTACACTAATCACATATGACTCTTATTTAAAATAATAAAGTGGTTTCTGAATATTGATACAATCCCAGTTTCATATAAAGAGCTCAATACAAAAATTAAGACTGGTTTTGCCAGATCTCTTTCTCTGAAGCTGTAATTTTTAGAAGTAACAATTGCTTGAATGATTAATTACACCTTTAGTTACACCAGGAAGGCCATAATTAACTGTTGGCACCTCCAACAAAACGAACAAATAGCTAATGGTCTTGACCAATAATTCTTCCCTTTTCATCTATTTATAGGGAAAAATTTGAGGCTGAAGATTTGACCATTCATTTCAATATAGTGCATTCATTTACGCTTGTCTTCTTGTCATACATAATGGTGTACTAAACAGATTTTTCTGTAATTATGGGTATTAACTAAAATGCAGAATTAAAATTCACCTCTGAGCTTGGTTTGGGCAGATGTGTGAAAATGCACACCTTGTATAGACAAACCTATGACACTCTCACATGCTTTCTCCCTTAAAATAGCTCCTCTGGAATCAATAGGGATTTTTTTACTTTAACATGAAAGGTAAATTAAAAGAGAAAAATGGAATCTAACCTTTCTTCCCACTACTTAGAAATGTTAGAAGGTAAAAAGGGTAGTGGTAGATCACAGTAGACAAGTGGCCTTTGAACAGGTATGGCCTCAAACAACTCCTCAGAAGACCTTGCTGGAGCTTCATTCTCAGCAATTGTCTAAGGGCCAGTTGCCTGGGGCTACTGTGAATATGCATGTTATTCTATTCATTTCTTTTTTAAAGAAAGATTTATTTACTTATTTATTTGAGAGAGAGAGCTCGAGAGGGGGGGAGGGTCAGAGGGAGAAGCAGGAGCAGGGAGCCCCGATGTGGGACTGAGTCCTGGGATTCCAGGATCATGACCTGGGCTGAAGGCAGTCGCTTAACCAACTGAGTCACCCAGGTGCCCTAATTTTATTAATTTCAAGGTTTACTATAGTTCACATAAATTCGACATATGCTTAAAGATCTGTGACACCTTGCTTATCGTGGTCCTTCTTGAATGAGTGAGCTGCATATATTTTCCCAGGGCTCAGTCCAAAATTATTTCCCCAACATAACTAGAAGACAGGCTTATGTGGTCCTGAGTATATATACCATGCCTTCCAATATAAATATATTCACACACTGATTATTATAGTGTGACTTTTTTATAGAAGAGAACCTTTTCTCCAGTGCAGTATCATTGAAAGTCCCTAATGGAAGTGAGATACAAAAAGAATACTCTTGTTGAAGTAGAGCTAGTGACCCAGAGCCCCCCAGAGTTCTGTTTGTCAACCCATGTTGTCACTGGGGCCTGTCTGAGGAGCCTCTCGGAAATAAGAATTTTTATTACGTGGCCTTTGAGCTATGGCTCAGATTGCATGTAGGTTTTGATTTCCTGAAACTTGAGCATAAGTGAAAAATTCTTTTCTGTTGAAAATAATTTTAATGTTTCATACAGTAAATCACGAAGAGTTATGAATGAGCTATGACACTGGATAATGAGATGGTCAAAAGTAATCATATAAATATCTTTTGGACCTAAAATATTTCTTTCAAGTTCCAATTCTGACAGTGCAGAGGACTGAGCCGATTTAGATCCCCTCTAGTTACAAAAACAGAAACGTTTAACATATGAAATCAGGATAATAAAAATTTTTTAATACGTTGGTTGATATTTACAGATTGGTGATATTTTACAGAAATCTCTAGTTGTCAGAAATACTGAAGAAACTTAAAATTAGAGCAGAAACCTTATAAGCTGATGACCTAGAGACCTAGGAATGATTTTAGGTTGAGTATTGGTTCCAAGCCTGAGAGGTTTTAACTAAGGGGACTGAGGTAGCCTTGGGCCCCTTAAACCAATTAAGTTCCCTGTTTTAAGCCTGGATATTGGAAGGGTATCCCTTCTGTGAGATAAGAACTCAAAAAACTCTTCCCATTATCCCCAGAAAGAAATAAGGAAGTTTGTCTTTGTCTTGGGTTCTGATTTTTTTAAAAAATTCTCCTTTGAAAGAAATGAATGTGTTTCTGGCGTATGGATTTGAAATTTAAATGCATAATATTCACATGGTGTGAAAAATCCAAAGCAAGGAATTAACATAAAAGCAAATTTGGGGACTGTTGAAATCCCAAGAATGCTTGGTAGAAGCAAACACAAAAGTCACTCTGTTAGCAACACTTTACAATTCAGGCCTCATGATAGTGTGTTCAAAATAAAAAATTACAAATCTTATAAGTAACTTATCTATCATGAGAGAGTCAGAAGACACAGTGAACAGCAGAATTAATATTGTTAGAACCTCAGATAATAGGGTGACAACTTGGAAAAGACTGTAAAGTAAGAATATTTAAAATATATTAAAGTCAGAAAGAGAGAGGAAGGAAGGACAGAAGGGAAGGAGGAAGGAAGGGAGGAAGGAAGGGAAAGGAAAAGATTATTATGTAAAAAGGACCAGGTTGATGTGTCAAAGAACCAAATAGAAAATCTAGACATAGAAACTATAATCCTAAATCATCCTAAAGCTCTTGTTTGTGTAACTATGCCATTTGCTTAAAATGTTAAAGGAAACCAAAGGAACATTGTTCATTTTCCACATTTCTCACCAACTACCATCTCTGTCCTCTCACTTCCTGTGTTGGTGACTCAAGCGGCATCCTTATTGTGCTTTAGAAACATTGAGAATGAAAAGAAGGCCACTGGGGTAAAGAATCACTTATCCTGTCTCTCTCTCCCTGTCTGTGTTTGAGTCCCGTCCCCGTACAACACTCTTCCCCATGTCCCTCACCCTCCACCAATCAACCTCTTCACACCACTTAATTGCAGTTATAAATCACTACACAGTATCCTAGTGACTGGAAATAAGTTTTGATTTTTAAAATGGCTTAAATCTCTTTTTCATGTTCTGTTTTGTTCAAAGGGAAGTTGTGTAATTCAAAATAAATCCTTCTCTAACCCTTCTTTTTTTTTTTAATTTTTATTTCTTTTCAGCGTAACAGTATTCATTGTTTTTGCACCACACCCATTGCTCCATGCAATACGTGCCCTCTCTAATACCCACCACCTGATTCCCCCAACCTCCCACCCCCTGCCCCTTCAAAACCCTCAGATTGTTTTTCAGAGTCCATAGTCTCTCATAGTTCACCTCCCCTTCCAATTTCCCTCAACTCCCTTCTCCTCTACATCTCCCCTTCTTTAATTGCAAAGGGAATTTTTAACTTGATAAGGCATAAGTAAATAAGGCAGTGGAAATTAGCAAACGTTCTTGAATTTTCCTCCTAAAAAGAAAAGAGAAAAAAGATGGACAGGGCTTAATGCATTCCAGAAGCAGGAGAAATTACACAATGTATCCTCATCAAATCAACATGGCACCAATAGAAACTGCTAGAGAAGCTAGGAAAGAGTGGGGGTGTGTTGGCAAAAAAAAAAACCACCTTAGAAGCAGGCATAGAGCTTACTAGTGAGACAGAAGATGAGTTCCATCCAAGAAAGCCATCGTTTCTGCTCAGCCTGCCCCAGACCATCCTCAGGCAGAGAATGAATACAGCAGAGGCAATTACTGTCAGAAGATATAAACCTCTCAACTGAGCAGCCACTGGCAGAGAATTGTGATGATGTGACTTTGGGGCCAGAGTCCTTAGGCAGTACAATCCAGGAGAACAGCTCTTATATCTCTCCTCAGGTGTTTGCCAGGTATACAGTTTGGGTATCTGGGTACTGCATCTGTTCATTAATGTATAATGTTTATATGCTGCTGATTGTGTGTGTGTATGTGCGCGTGCGTGTACAGACAGAATTAGAAACTCAGCTTGTTTTTGTGGTTGTAGACAATTCTGAGACTCTATGATCTGCCTAGGTTTTCATGTGGGTTGAAATTGTTTGTTTTTTAATTTCACAGTGTGTGGACAATATACGGTGTAATGGTTTAATGACTATAGTATTTGAAGAGAATTCCAAAGTTACTGTGCCACATATGATTAAGTAAGTGTAATAATCCTTTTCCTTACATTTTAATCAAGTTGAATTGGTAGAGAACATAACGCCCTGCATAAAATATTGCTTCAATAGGGTTCTGCTTCATTTTTGTGACGTTTCTTGATAGTAATGTGATAATTCATGGTATGCTATTATAAATAATAAGACTATCAAAATGGTTTTTCAGATTCATGTTTATTGATTCATAGCCTAGAAAAATGTTTTTCATACTGTTACATATGCTTTCATTCAGGGCAAAAGCCTACTGAGATTTTCAAGTTCAATATGAAAAGTTGTGACAGCCAGATATACCCAGGGTCAGAGTCTGGGTCAAAATATGGCATATTCTTCTGGCATCTTCCCAGTGGGTATGAATTGTATTACTCAGATTTGGTTATAGAGATATATTTAGATTTCAAAGACACGTGACATGAATCAGTTGGCCTTCCCATGGTACCATCTACCATGTCTACATGTGGATTTGCCCAAGTCTGTCATCATGCTCTCGCTCTATTTTGTTACCAAAACATATCCTATAGTTTAAAGTGGCCAATAGGGAAATGGTAGTTTTCAATGAGAAATTATATCATTAACTATGTGCCATTGCTCTCTGTATTAATGCTTTTGTCTCTATATACTTTTTCTGTTATAAATTCCAAAGTGGTTTCAGGAGTATTTTGAGATGACCAAATTGTTCCCTGTTCTCTCTCTCTTTTTTTTTTTGCAATTCAAATTCTAAGAATAAAATGTATTTTTGAGAGCAGTCCTGTCATATCTTTTTTAAAAAGTTACATGAAACTAAGAAAATATTTGTCTTCTATGCATTTTTAATGTGGATTTTTTTTTAGATCTGAGCTGTTTGTGCCAAGGCAATAAATAACATTAATTTTCCTCTTCTGATAGGAAATTAGTGCTCTTAGCACCATCCCAACAGTACAGCTTTTAGAACTTATTATTGTATCAGATGAAGGCAAAGTACATTGTACTAGTGCTGTAATTACTACAGAAAAATATAAACTGAGAAAGAATGACAGTATTTTAAATTACCGGTCAAATTTAAAAACATTTTAGGTAGATCTGTTTTAAGGCTCTAGGGTGAAGATTCCTTTAGCATTCAGTTTTTTTGTTTTTGACTTAGTCTAGTTTTTTTTTAAACCATATTAAAATGTATGATGTTAAGATTAAGACCAGGTATGCAGTATTCAACCAAGAGGTCCAAATTGTGACTTAATTTTTAAATTCGCATCATCAGCTTAGAGTTAGTTTAATTTTCTACCATAGGATTATTATTTTAATATTTCACAAAATAGCATATGTTACTTTTATTCATTTTTTAAAAGTAGTTTCTTGAAGGCTAGACAGCCATGAAAGTCCCAACCGCTTTAGAATGAGAATATGTAAATTGTACATTGCAGCCAAGTTATAAGCTCCTAAACCCTAGGGCTACTTTACATATGCTATACATACACTTTGTTGACTTTAAAAATGAATAAAGATACAAAGTTTAGTTTCGTGCCTAACTGGTTATGGCTGAAGCCCAGAGGCATCTTCTGTCACCTATGATGTCCGTTTGACAGTGTCCATGTCCAGCCTTGCATGTGTAACTGCCTCACATGCAGACCACGACTTTCCTCTTTTGGGAGCACAGATGAGAGGAACCACTCTCCTCCTAGGACAGAAACCTGTATCTCGGGCTGTAAAGATTTTTGATTAGAGTCACGCATATTTTGATGCCCATCTAGCCTATTCTGAATGTACTCCTGAGGCAGAGTAAAGTCTCATATATTTCTTCATTCCACTTTCCTCAGCCTTACTGAGCCTGATTTTCCTCAGTTAGAGGAAAGAGGATAATTTGACAGTCTCTCTTCCTTCTGATAGTTCCCCCTGTGGACCTGTTCTACCCTAAATTCTGTATGAGCTCCTCCCTGTGCCTCTCCTTGGCCACATACCATGAAAAAAAAAAGACAACATTTTTTTTTTTCCTCACTGTGTCTTATTACTGACATGGTGTCACTGTGGAGGCACTCACTTCCCTTTAAAACTTAATTATAATAGGTGATTTGGGTTTCATGTCTCAAGATTGCTTTTTTAAGTTCACCAAAAAAGGAGTTGTTATTGTCACAGGAGGCTTAAGTAATGCGTTGTATCTCACTTGAGAGCCCCTTAGGAAATAAACACTGCGTTCAGTGTAATAAAAGAAAATTAAATAATTTCATCATATTTAATTCATTTTCTAAAAGGAAAATTATAATTTTGAAGGACAGTGGTATCATTAGTCAGTTTTATTTTAATTTAATGTTGCCACTACATAGTTTTTTCTTCCAGTGTTGTTGCTGTTTTTTAAGTAATCTCCATGCCCGATGTGGGGCTAGAACTTATGAGATTAAGAGTTGCATGTTCTGCCAACTGAGCCAGTCAGGCACCCCATTTCTTCCAGTGTTTTGAATAAAGTAATTAGAGTCAAAAACTGCAAAGCTCAGAACTACTATTAGAATGCAAAATTATGATATTTATTACGTGAAAATTCCCCTTTAAGTGATGCTTCCATTTTAGGATAGGGTAGGGTAAGGGTTGCTTCCTTTTAATAATAGTCAACCTCACCTTTCTCAGAAAATGGAGATTTTTAATGGGAAAATGATGAGGGAGAAAGTGATTACCTTGATCATCCATCTTTTGGACAGACTGATTGATTCATGAAAGTTCTTAAGGTCTTTCTCCTAATGAGAAAATTAAGAACCCTAAGAGTAAAGTTGATTAAGGGTCACATAGTGAGTGGGAAAAAAGAGCCCCACGCCATTTTCAAGGATCTCAAAAGATGCTCTTGTGTATTTTCGAGATCAATAAAGTGGCTAAAACTAACGGGCCACCCTTAGTTCCTCAGCAGGGGTAAGCTGCTCATTTAAAATGCTCTTTTGAGCCTGCAAATGAAGTACTTCTGCCTGCACCCTGCATGCGTTGGGGTGGGAAGTTTCCAAGAGCAAACTAAGAAAGTTATTGATTCCTTTTTATTTTAAAGAAAATAAATATATAATTTAAAATCCCTCGAAGTGCTGAAGGGGCTAATTTAGGGCACTCACAACAAGCGAGCTGATTCTAAGCAAGCAGTTGCCTTACTGAACGTTCCCAGCCCCACAGTATGCCCTTTGATCAGTTGGTGAAATCCGGGACTTCACTGATGGCCTGTTCTGAGATAACGGCAGTGGAGGGGAACAAGGGATCTCAGAAGAGAATGTGAAAGCTCTGGGCAGTCCTAACGAAGGTGTGCATTTCTTTGAGCCCCATTTGGATTCAGCCTCTGCTTCCAGGCATCTCCCCTTACAAGCTTTGCCTCTCTGCTGGCCTCCTTTGCCCTTTCGAACAAATGTGCAAGTGAGGGCTGCTGTGTGAACCTTCCCGCTAATGTGCTCATCCACCTGGGAAGGCTACTCAGGCCCCCGGGGAATCCAGGAGGGCGAAGGAGCGGCCAGATGGGAGGTTTTACAGAATGAGAAAATGCAGAACACTGCAGGAGTGGGGGGTGGGGGGGCAATGGTGGATACTGTTCATGGGTAATCTCTTCCATTACTTTTTTTTTTTTTTTTTAGGATTTTATTTATTTACTTGACAGAGAGAGAGAGTCAGTGAGAGGAGGAACACAAGCAGGGGAGTGGGAGAGGGAGAAGCAGGCTTCCTGCTGACAGGGAGCCTGATGCAGGGCTAGATCCCAGGACCCTGGGATCATGACCTGAACTGAAGGCAGACACTTAACAATTGAGCCACCCAGGGATCCATTATTACTTTTTTTAAAAAATGAAGATATTTCAAACACTATAAAATATTGCAAAATAACGAAGACATAACATTTCACACAATTTGTGGATTAAACTGTACTACTCATAAAACAGATAGACTTAAACTCATTAATGAGCCAGGAAGAATGAAGTGAATTAAGCATTCAGTTGAAGAAGTTAGAAAAAGAATGACAAAATAAACTGTAAGAAAGTGTGGGATGAAAATAAGACAAGTACAGATGCGAACATGTTAAAATATAGAAAAACGATAGAATTGTTCAAAGAGCCAGCTCTAAAGGGAAAAATACCTAATAACATAGCCTCTTGGTCAGTTTAGTTAAAATAGTTAAAAAAAAAAAAAGATGGGGTGGAGGAACAAATGCACAAAATTAGAAGTGAGGGAAAAAATAACTACAGATACAGCAGTGATATCTGTAGCTCCCTCTCCCCTCTACCCATCTGTGGGAAAAACATCACCCATTACTTATTAAGCGTACTTCTGACATGCTGATTTAAGGACATAAGCAGTGCCCCTCCTAAACAGGACATTTGGTTTCTTTTCTCTAATAAAACATGATTAAACTAGACAAGTGCAGGATAGCAGAAATGTCCCACCCCAAACATGCTACTTGGGCATATTGGTTGAACTACAGGCACTTGAAAAACAGCAAATGCAGGGAGAAATGTTCTCTGAACTCCTTTTATTTGCCTAAAGACAGATCCTCCAAAAGGCACTCAGATGTCATAAATCCCCTCCCTGAGAATTTCATCAACCAGGGAGGATTGAATTTATTGTAGGGGAAAAGACTAGAAGTCAACCCCTCACCTAGACGAGCTGTCCCAAATTATCATACCTCCCATCTAGTCTCCTAAGGGTCCATTCATCTTTCCTAAAAATCATTTTCTCTTCTCTAAGAGGCCTACCTGCCTTACCCCAACCCATTTTCCCTATTAAGATAGTATTTAAGCCTAAATTCTAAGCCACCTCTGGGAGTTGCTTATTTTTCCCTGGGTATCTCCCATGTGTACATGAGGTACACATGTTAATAAACTTCTGCTTGTTTTTCTCTTCCTAACCTGTCTTCTATTACAAGAGTCTCAGCCAAGAACTCAGGTAGAGGGAAAATAATTTTCTTCCCCTACAGAAGGAATCCACAGAGTGAAATGAATTATTCTTACCTTCTCCACAATTAATTCTGACCTTCCTAAATTATAATAATGTAGTTGATGTTTTTATAGCCCTGCCTTCTTGCGTGTAATAAGTCATTTCAACATCTTTTATCAAATATGATGGGAAGCACTCATACAAGTTTGTGTCTCTGAATACTGAAATATTCAGTGGCTGAGAGGAAGCCATGTCCCGGTATTGTTCTTACGTTCCTGCTTTGTGTGTAGGTCTGATGCCCGTCTTCATAAAGATGACACTGACATTTGCTTCAGTAAAACACTCAACTCCTGCAAAGTGCCCCAGATCCGCTATGCCAGTGTGGAGCGCCTCCTGGAGCGGCTGACAGACTTGCGGTTTCTTAGTATTGATTTCCTCAACACCTTTCTGCACACCTATCGTATTTTCACTACAGCAGCTGTGGTGCTGGCAAAACTTTCCGATATATACAAGAGGCCTTTTACCTCCATCCCTGTCAGGTAGGCTCTGGACTTGCCTGTCATGGAAGTTGGCCCCCCTGGTGCCTGGGTCTCCATGCAGCTGAGCAGACATTCTGCAGAGCTGCTCCTACAGGATTGGCTCACCTGGGAACTTGGCCTGCTTATAGAGGGGCGGGGGGTAGAGTTCACAGATGGTTCCCATGGAAGAAGTTGAGAACCCTAGAGTCCCCAACTCATCTTTGCTTCCTCCATGATTATTTGGAAGCTAACTCTATTGTCTTAGGCTTTCTTTCTTTCTTTCTTTCTTTTCTTTTCTTTTCTTTTCTTTTCTTTTCTTTTCTTTCTTTCTTTCTTTTTTTTTTTTAACAGTTGTGCTTTTCAAACTTGAACGTGTATTAAGAATCACCCAGGGGTCTTGTTAAATTGCAGACTGTGATTTAGCATATCTGGAGTGGAGCCAGAGTTCTGCATTTCTGACAGGCTCCCCAGAGATACCAATGCTACTGGTCTTTGGGTCACAGTCGAGTAAGCAAGGGGTTAGACAAGGTCTAAAAATTGTCTGTATTCCTTCAGCAAATGTGTGGTATATAGGTAGCATTTAAATGAAGGAAATCCAGCAACAGAAGTGTGATGATATTGTGGCCTTCTAATGTAGGGAGCATGTTCTGAATGATAATCAGGGGAATCGTCTTTACTTGGCTATCATCTGTCAATAGCTTCTGCTCTTATTTTTAGGTCATTAGAATTGTTTTTTGCTACCAGCCAGAACAATAGAGGTGAACATTTGGTGGATGGCAAATCCCCACGCTTATGTCGCAAATTCTCTTCCCCACCACCACTGGCTTTGTCCAGGACGTCCTCCCCAGTGAGGGCCAGAAAGCTGTCCTTGACTTCTCCGTTGAACTCAAGGATAGGAGCTTTGGACCTGACCACCTGCTCAGCATCCAGCAGTCCTACCACCACCCACAGCCCTGCTGCATCCCCACCACCGCACCCTGGCAAAGTACCGTTGGATCTCAGCAGAGGCCTTCCTTCTCCAGAACAAAGCCCGGGATCTATAGAGGAGTCTCTAGATAACCCCCGCATGGATCTGTGTAACAAGCTAAAACGAAGTATTCAAAGAGGTATTATCCACCTGCCACACCCTGTGTTTGCTGGCCACCTGCTTCCCCACCATTCTTTCTGGAACCCTAGATCCCTTTCTTTACAGCTTTCCTACTCCTCTGTTGAAAGTAGAATGAATACAATGGCTAGTTAGAAGGGGCAGTGCCTGTAGGTCACTCTAGGCTATGTGCAAAGGAGGGCAAAGTTAGCTGTCCTGGGGTCTTCTACAGTAAAAGTCTAATTGTAGTCAGCTATGTATGGAAGAACAGCATTATCAGAATGGTATTACTGGAAGGTTCTTCATGGGATTTGGTTAAGACTGGTTGGGTAATGATACTTTGTGTAGAGGTAGGAAGTGGGCCCCCTCTTCTGGGAACTTGGGCCCCAGGGCCTTCTCCCCTGGTCTCTGCCATGAACTCCCATACTGCTTCCAGCCTCCCCTGCTGAGGATGACCCAGCCTGGAAGCATTAAGATGGCTTCTTCAGTTTGGTTACCAAGGCAGTGCTTCATATTACAACAGAGATAGAGGGGAAAAAATGAAATTTGAGATGGTGTTCATTGTCCATGACAGCCAAAATGTTTTTTTTTTTTTAAAGAGGTGAATTAGATATGTTTTCCTGATTAAATTCTCTGATTTTCTGTGGCACTTAGATTAAAATCTGTTTTCCCTCACAAGACCTTAAGATACCATGAGACTTAGATCTTATCTATCTTTCTAGCCCCTGTTTCCATCATTCCCCTCACCCTGCCTACTAGATGCAGTGACGGGGATTGCATTTTTTTTTTAATTTCTTTATTTATTTGACAGAGAAATCACAAGTAGGCAGAGAGCTAGGCAGAGAGAGAAGGGGAAGTAGGCTCGCCACTGAGCACAGAGCCCGATGTGGGGCTCGATCCCAGGACCCTGGGACCATGACCCGAGCTGAAGGCAGAGGCTTTAACCCACTGAGCCACCCAGGCACCTCTGCATTTTTTTTTATCTCAGAAATAGCTCAGTCATTTCTGCCTCACATTTCTTTGCACTAGTTCTTCCTCCTGCCTGGACGTGTAAGTTTCATAAGATCAGCAGCATTTTCTTTCTTGTTCATCTCTGTACTCTCTGTGCCTTGGCCAGTGCCTGGCAGGTGGTTAATTTTTGTTAAATGAGTGAATCAAATGAAACATTCCATCAACTAAGCAAGGATCTTGTGTCCTGTCTACCTTGCCTTTTGCAGCTCAGTACAAAGTAGGGGTTATAGGAGGTGACTTTTGTTGCTTTAATGTTTCTGTGGTGAAAATAAAAAAGGTTTCATAGCAAAATTAGCAAAGAGCTTTTTTTTTTTTTTTGCTGTATGATAACTGATTTATTTATTGATGACATAAAAAAAATTGGGTATTCAATCAAAGTGTCCAAATTTCAAGGGCAGTCACCCAGATGGAAGCAGAGACCCTTGCTTCTCTACCTGGTTGAAGCTTCTAGCTTCACATAATTTAAAAATAAGCCTCCTGGCTGAAGAACTTAATGGAATTTTAACTGGATGGTTGTCATCATCAAAAGTAGCACCCTTTTAAACAAGAAATGCTTTAAATTGACAAGTTAGCAACCAAGGAGGAGGAAAGGAGGAAGATAATTAAAAAGTCATTAGAACAACAAGCTTTAGTAGAATCATGATGGATTCTTCTCAGGAATAATGAGGCAACGTGCAAGCTGACAAGTACATTTGGTGTTCCATCCAGCATCAGCCTGGGAACCTCTGTGGAAAGAGTGACTTAGGGAAGCTTATCACAGACCTCCTCCATGGGGCAGGGTGCCCTGGGAAGTACAGGAATTTCCCAGAATATGGGAAGATCTGTTCCCTCCTTTAATTGGAGTGCAATGAATAGAAGTCTGGGTCTAAGTCTGGATTCTTGTGTTATTTTGAGTTAGGAGAGCTTTAAGAGTAAGCATGTTAGTGTCGGACATTCATGGCTTCGAGGTTGGTCTGAACTCATGTCATGGTTCTAGAGGTCCTCAGTCAAGCTGTCCATTGCCCATCATGGCTAATTCTTCCTCTTAACTTGTTGCAGATTTTGACATTGCTCACCGAGTTCCCTGGTTCTGGTCTTCAACACCCAAGCCTAGAGTATGTAGTGATGGTCTAATGTCATATAAAACCTGTTTGCCCTACTATCTGGGATGGAGGTGTGGCCACTGGTAGGAATCAGTAGCTTTTCCCCCTGGTTCGAGTTAGACTCAGGGAGACCAAAAAAAAAAAAAAAAGAGAGAGAGAGAGAGAGAGAGAGAGAGAAAGGACTGGATTAAGCTCCAAAAGGACACTGACAAAGTCTGCTAGAGACTGGTTGGTGCAGATGTTGGACTGATGTGCAATCATTGTGGTCACAGCTCTTGGCAACTGGAGACCTTGTCATGTGTCAGCATTAATCATTTATGACTGGCAGCCAAAGATGGAGAAAACCTATGAATAATGGTGTGGTGAAAATATTAGGTTCTCAGGGGCACCTGGGTAGCTCAGTTGGTTGAACATGCAACTCTTAGTTTCTCAGCTCAGGTCATGTTCTCTGGGTTGTTGAGAGTTGCACACTTAACCAACTGAGCCACCCAGGTGTCCTTGTACATTGATTTTATATCCTGCGACTTTGCTGAATTCATGTATCAGTTCTAGCAATTTTTTGGTAGGCTGTTTCGGGTCTTCTCTGTAGACTATCATGTCTGCAAATAGTGAAAGTTTGACCTTTTCCTTGCTGATTTGGGTGCTTATTATTTCTTTTTGTTGTCTGATTGCTGAGGCTAAGACTTCTAGTACTATGTTAAATAGTAATGGTGAGAGTGAACATACCTGTCTTTTTCCTAACTGAAGAGGAAAAAGCTCTGTTTTTTTTTCCTGTTGAGGATGGTATTAGCTGTGGGTCTTTCATATATGGTCTGTATGATGTTAAGATATGTTCCATCTATACCTACTTCGTTGAAGGTTTTTATCAAGAATGGGTGCTGTATTTTGTCAAATACATTTTCTGCATCTATTGAGAGATCATATGGTTCTTATCCTTTCTTTTATTAATGTGGTGTATCACTTTGATTGATTTGTGAATATTGAACCACCCTTTCAGCCCAAGAATAAATCCCACTTGAGCAAAGTGAATAATTATTTTAATGTACCATTGGATTCAATTTGCTAGTATCTTGTTGAGAATTTTTGCATCTGTGTTCTTCATGGATATTGACCTGTAATTCTCCTTTTTGTAGGGTTTTTGTCTGATTTTGGAATCAAGGCAATGCTGGCCGTGTAGAATGAATTTGAAGGTTTTCTTTTCACTTCTATTTTTCGGAACAGTTTGAGAAGAATAGTTATTAACTCTTTAAATGTCTATTAGAATTCCCCAGAGAAGCCATCTGGCCCTGGACTCTTGTCTGTTGGGAGATTTTTGATTATTGATTCAATTTCTTTACTGGTTATGGGTCTGTTTAGGTTTTCTGTTTCTTCCCGTTTCAGTTTTGCTAGTTTGTATGTATCTAGGAATTTGTCCATTTCTTCCAGATTACCTAGTTTGCTGGCATATAATTTTTCATAATATTCTCTTATAATTATTTGTATTTCTGTGGCATTTGTTGTGACCTCTCTTCTTTCTTTTTTTTTTTTTTAATAAAATTTTTTTTGAAGATTTATTTATTTATTTGAGAGAGAGACAGTGAGAGAGATCATGAGCGAGGAGAAGGTCAGAGGGAGAAGCAGACACACCATGGAGCTGGGAGCCCGATGCGGGACTTGATCCTGGGACTCCGGAACCATGACCTGAGCCGAAGGCAGTCGTCCAACCAACTGAGCCACCCAGGCATCCCACCTCTCTTCTTTCTTTCCTGATTTTATTTATTTGGGTCCTTTCTCATTTTTTTTTTTTGATAAGTCTGGCTAGGGGTTAATTAATTTTATTAATACTTTCAAAGAACTAGGTCTTAGTTTTGTTAATCTGTTCTACTGTTTCCCCCCTCCCCCCTTTAGTTCTGTATCATTTATTTCTGCTCTAATCTTTATTATTTCCCTTCTTCTGCTGGCTTTATGTTTTATTTGCTGTTCTTTTTCTAGCTCCTTCTGGGGTAAAGTTAGGTTGTGTATTTAAGACTTTTCTAGCTTTTTAAGGTAGGTCTGTATTGCATTTTACTTCCCTTCTTAGGACTGCATTTGCTGTATCTCCAAGGTTTGGGACTGTTATGTTTTTATTTTCATTTGCTTCCATGTACTTTTTTCATTTCTTCTTTAATGTCCTGGTTACCCCATTTATTCTTTACTAGGATGTTCTTTAACCTCCATGTATTTGTGGTCTTTCCAAATTTTTTTCTTGTAGTTGACTTCAAGTTTCAGTGTTGTGGTTGAAAATATGCATGCTACGATCTCAATTTTTTTGGATGTGTTGAGGGCTGATTTGTGACCCAGTGTGTGATCTATTTTGGAGAATGTCCCAGGTGCACTCAAAAAGAATGTCTATTCTGCTGATTTAGGATGAAATGCTCTGACTATATCTCTTAAGTCCATCTGGTCCAGTGTGTCATTCAAAGCCATTGTTACCTTGTTGATCTTCTGCTGAGATTATCTATTCATTGCTATAGGTAGGGTGTTAAAATCCCCTACTATTATTGTACTGTTATCAATGTGTTTCTTTATATTTGTTATTCATTGATTCATATATTTAGGTGTTCCCAAGTTGGGGGCATAAATATTTACAATTGTCTTTTTGATGGACAGACCCCTTAATTATGATAATGCCCTTCTTCATCTCTTGTTACAATCTTTGATTTAAAATCTAGTTTGATATAAATATGGGTGCTCTGGCTTTCTTTTGATGTGCATTAGCATGATAGATGGTTTTCCATCCCCTTTACATCTTTATTTCTTTTCCCTTTCTGTAGCTGTTTTCTGATTACTCTTAGTGTATTTACTTGCCATCCTGTTTCTATTTGTTCCTAACAAGTAGTTAAGATGGTTGTTCAAACAGGAACATGGAACAGCTTGATTAAAAATAAAATGAATAAGGAAATCAGGTAATGGAGAAAAACTGTATGAGGCCAAGGGTATGGTTAGTGAACAGTGAACACAACACTGTGTGGTCTTCTGTAGTTCCTAGAGTCGCCCTGGTTTGGGTTCCAAAAATAATCAATTCTGTGATTCATATGAAACCTAAGATATTGGTGTACAGGCGTATCTTTTCTTCCTATTGGGATTTGAGAACAATTTATCCTATGAATTCCCATAAAGGAAATGCTGTGAGTAGAAAGCTCAGAATTAACACTGGAGACTGGGGAGCTCTGTGGCATTTTTCTGAAGAGGTGAAACAGGAATCATAGATTTTTCTTGTATTTTGCATTGGTAAATGGGTAATACTGGTCATGAATAGGCCTAAGAAAGTCATGGATAAAGCACTTTACTTCAGCATCAGTCTGACAGGTTCTCTGTGTGTGTGTGTATATACATGATGTCTGTAGGAGCCAAGAGTGCTGCTGTGTTAACTCTGTTGTCTAGTCTTGAAAATTCTAATTGGCAAAGGAAAGGGAGACACTGATCTGTCTTTAATTTGAAAGATGTTTGCATGTGCTTTGCATAATGTTAACACTTAAAACAGTTGGCAAACTTGAATAAGAATTCTATGCCAACAGTATATACATTTTTGGCTTTTCACTTCAGGATACAACTCTGTACAACCTCATTACATAATACCGGCTTCCTCCCCTACTGAGGCCATAGGTCTCTCTCACTGCTGACCTGCTAGACAGTTTCAGGGCACACCATGTGAAAAATGCTAGTCACCTTTGTCCCGTTTTATGGTCACTGCACTGCTAATGCCAGACTTGCAATATTTCCTGGCAAGAAAACTTCAAATGACATAAAGAGGAAGAAGAGAAACAGGAGCTATCTCTCCGAGTGAGCAAAAAGATGAACTTGGAGGGAAAAGGAAGACCCTTTATTCCCTGACCCCATCCAGTCTCCCTTGCCTCCCCTATCTGCCCCAGGCTTGTCTTATTCATTAAGCCCTCATTTCTTCCTAGCAGGCAGGCCCCACCTTCTTCCACCCTGGATTTTCCTTGGAAGTGCAAATCTTAGCCCAGCTCACTTCCGTATTCCACCCAATGGTGGGCTCTCCACAAAAATCCAGCCAGTGGCAGGCAAGCAAGGGAAGGCACAGGGCCTCTGCCTGTACTGGGGTCTCTCACCACACGGGTCCCTGCTGTGCAAGCCAGCCTAAGTGTTGCGGCATTGCCTGCATCACCGGTGTCTGTTTCTATGTTCTTAGCTTGAAAATTGCCTGCCTGTGGGCTGAAAGTGCTCCCAATTTTAGCATTTGTTTTGAGCCCACATCTGCCTACTCGTCCTGAAAGCAAAGCTGTTTGCATGGAGCTTGATTGAAAGCGAACATGCCAGAAGGAAATGCTACTTGTCCCCCACCCTGCTGGCAGGGTTTCTTCTCTCTGTAGCTGCCTCTGTTTGCTTACAGTGTTATTCTTTGCTTTCCTGTTCTTTCAGGAGATATTCAAGGCCTGACCATCTCTCTCACTGGGAAGTTTTTCGGGTTCAGTGTAATTGCTGATGAAATGATTTTTTCATTTGCCTCAGAGGATTGAATGGTTGAATCAGCCCAAGGACACATGTATTTGATATTCTGCTTGCTGTTGCAGAGCAGATGCCTTCCATTACAGAATTCTGAGGGAGTTATTTAGAAAATAATAAAACTAACAGCTAAGCATGAATTTTTTGTCTGTATCCTGCATCACTGCCAGCTTTAACTGTAATTATATCATTCAGGGAAAGAGCCTAACCAGTTCCCTTCCCTGGCCCCTTTGTGTTGCAGAAGAGCCGGATCATGGCTGTGGCCCTATTTGCAAGGAAGTAAATCACATGCAAGAAGTCATTAGGTATTTTTGGAAGGATTTATTGAGTGAAATTTTGAATGGAATGACAAAGGGAGCAGGGCTGAGAGCAGTCCTGCGGACAGGGGTCATGGAAAGTTAGTAGAGGAGACAGAGTTGTTACGAGTTAATGAAAAGCACAAGGAAAAAAGAAATACAAGAGGATTGGTGGAAATGTATGAATTTTTGGTTGTTTTTTTTCCGTGAAAGAATGTACGCAGGGTTGTAGTTTTAGCTGGTTAATAAGCCAGCACGAGCGGTACAGAAACGTCGTCAGTAGTAGCCTAAGGTGACCCTAGAGTGATGTGTCTTTTATTCATGCGACCTTAGCTGCAGTGAAAAGGCTCAGACAATCTCAAGCTTTCCCCATGGTTCATTCTAAAAATTTCCACTTGCCTCCTGCTGATCTGTAGCTTTAGATCAGGGCTGTCCAACAGAACTCTCTGGGAGGATGGAAATGCTCTCTGTCTCTCCCATCCTGTACTGTAACCACCAGCCACATTTGGTACTGAGCACTTGAAATATGGCTAGTGCAAGTAAGGAACTGAAATAGTAATTTAACTTTAATTAGTTTTCATTTAAATTTATCTAGTCACATTTGGCTAATGCTACCATGTTGGACAGGGCAGCTCTAGACCCTTAGGAGTTCCCAGAGCTGCTTGTTTGGGGGGGTGGGGTGGGTACACTGATAGAGATTCAAACTTCAGTTGGCTTAAGAATTAGTGAAGTCCCAATTTTGATCCCAGTCTGATTTATAATCTGGGAGTGTCCTTCTTGCCCTACTCTTCTGGCGGGTAGGGAACCCATAGCACATCCCCTGTTCTTTTGAACATCTGCTGTTGTGTTGGGCAGAAAGGAGTGGGTACAGTTAGCCAGGCTCAGCAGGGTCAGCGAGACAGGGATAAAGAAGACACTGCACTGAGATTTAGTGACATTAGCACTCTGCTAGGAGGAATGACTTGATTTCATATTAAAGCCCTTTAAAAATGTAGACTAGTTTGGAAGTTGGTTATCCATAATAGGCCTTTGTGTTTCTGTGTATACTACTGACAAGAACTTCTTGAATTCATGGCCTGGTTGTTAAAATTCCTGATGTTTCCAAGCAGCCGTCCTAGAGTCTGCACCTGTGGACCGAGCAGGAGTGGAAAGTTCCCCAGTGGCAGACAGCATGGACCTTTCACCTTGCCGATCACCCTCCACTCCTCAGCACCTCCGCTATCGTCAGCCTGTAGGTAAGCTCAGGAGATGCGAAAATATAAACGCAAAAGGTAGTTTCTAGCTTCTGAATCTTTCTTTTGCCTATTGCACTCCCCAAATATTTTTTAATCTCAGTTACAAAAATTAGTTGGAAGGAAACAATGTGACTGTCAAGTAGTGGAGAAATAAATGATTAGAGAATATGTCATTAATGTAACTAATACTGATCTTGCCCCATCACTGCACAGCACTCTGTGGAGTAACAGGAATCAAGAAGCTTGTTCTTAAAGGATGGCTGTTTGAAGAATTATTATTGCTCATGTGGCAAAAAACCGATGTATTTTCTATAGTTAGGGAACTTATAAAGCATAACCCATAATTTGTTATAGAACATACGAAAGGTGCTCTAATTGGAGGAAAAACCATCAGAGTGAAAGGTAGAAATCTTTTATCTTCCCATTGTTCAAATAAAAAAATCAAATAACAGTTGTTTTTTGAAACATTTTTACAGTGGTTTGCCATTAGGGTATGCATTCAGATGATTTTCCATTATGAATTATAAACTTTAAACATTTTTTAAACCCTAGAAATATTTAAAAACAAATTAAACAGATGTGTTGTTAATCCTTATATTCTTCTTTACTAATGAAAAACAAAAACACAACAGTTGGTTTTGAATTGTTTCATTTTTTTCTCCTCAAGTTATTTTAAGCTATAAGAGAAAACTATTCAGTTATGAAACCAAACTCCCCCAAGTAATCCAAGTAAAATGTAAAGATTTTTAGACTTTCATAAACCTGCTTTAAGTAGAACAGTTTGGCAAAAGGCTCCACATGGCCGTTCATTTGTAGCGTTGGCCAAGTGGTAGAAGTTGTTGTCTTGCAGTCAGCTCCAAGAGAAGCTAACCTGGGTCAGGCTGTTTTCAGAGTACTCACTGGGGACTGGGAGGAACATGATGATGAAGGAGTAGGAGACCTAAATTTCATGTGGTCCCAGGAATTCAACTAGATAGTTACCAACCATTCTGAATACCTACAAACTCAACAGGAGATCTAAGAAAAGAAGAGCAGCAATTATATAAACAGAAAAGCAACCACTTTCTGGAAGGTAGGACGTGCAGAGAAGTGAATCTGAAGTGATATTTGAGAAGATAGATCCCGGCAGCGAGGGAGCCTCTGTCAGCCAGCTCTGGCAAGCAGTATAGCACCAGAGCACAAAATCAGAACTTCTAGAAGTCTGCACCACTGAGGGACGTCACTCCAGAGGCTAAGCAGGGGTGGAGCTCTCTTGGGCACAGGGTGGTCTCAGGTCCCTTGGGGTCACAGAAAGACCGCGGGTGCCAGAGTGCAGCAGAGCTCCCAGATATCAGAGATCAGAAGCTGGCTGCAGAGACGGAGCCAAGGAGGGGGCTCTTAGCTCAGAGTTACCTTAAACTGTGATCCAAGGCACAGTCAGACCACACTTTGAGCAGGGACCCCATAAGTGACAGATCTGGGGAGACTCACCTTCCTCCCCTGGGAACAGTGGCATGGGAGTGCAGCACAGGAATCTGCTGGGTTTAGAGACTCCAAAGAGGGTCGTGTGCCAGAAATAGAAACGCTTGATCACAGTCTGGGTGAGCACAGAGTGCGGCTGGAGACCAGGGAAAGAGGAGGGATTTACTGCTTTTCTCTGAGGGCGCACTGAGGAGTGGGGCCCCGAGCTCTCAGTTCCTCGGGGGCCAGAGATTGAGGGGCCGCCATTTTCATTCTCCTCCTCCAAAGCTTATGGAAAGCTTTCAGGGAACAAAAATCCCAAGAGGGAACCGAGCAGATTACTTAGACTGGCCCCTGGCAAGGGCAGTGCAGTTCCACCTCAGGCAAAGACATTTGAGAATCACTGCAACAGGCCCCTCCCCCAGAAGATCAGCAAGAACATCCAGCCAAGACCAAGTTTACTGATCAATGAGAACTGTAAAACATAGGTGCTAGGGGAATACAGTACATGGAATTCATGGCTATTTCCCCATGATTCTTTAGGTTTTTGAAGTTAATTTTTAAAATTTTCTTCTTTTCCCATTTTTTAAAAAAATTTTCTTCTTTCCTATTTTAACCAACATCTTACTCTTATCAATTCCTTTTTTGAAATTGTACTAAATTATCATTTTCATAGTCATATTCTTTTCCCTCATTGTGTTTAACCTTATTTTTGTATATACATTTATTTTTCTTTCTTTAAAATTTCGAGATAAAGTTTCTTCTAACAGACTAAAATATACCCTAAATCTAGTGTATGACTTTGTTATAGTCTCCCGCCTGATCACATTCTCTCCTTTTTAATTTTTTAAAACTTTTTCTTCCTTTTTTCAACCAACTTCTTGTTTTATCAATTGCTTTTCAAAAATCTTTTTTAATTTTCATTTTTACAGTCACCCTTCATCGTATTTACCCTTATTTTTGTGTATATATAGAAAAGTTTTTCTTTCTTTAAAATTTTGGGAGACCATTTCTTCTAACAGACCAAAATACACCCAAAATCTAGTGTGTGGCTGTGTTCTGTTCACCAGCCTGATCAGATTCTTTTTTCCTTTTCATTTTACTTATTTATTTTCTTTTCTTTCCCCCCAGTTTTGGGTCTCTTTTGATTTGTTTAGTGTATATTTTTCTGGGGTCATTGTTACCCTTTTAGCACTTTGTTCTCTCATTGATCTGTTCTTCTCTGGACAAAATGACAAAATGGAAAAACTCACCTCAAAAAATAAAAAAGAACAAGAGGCAGTACTAACAGCCAGAGACCTAATCAATATGGACATGAGTAAGATGTCAGAACCACAGTTCAGAACGACAATTATAAAGATACTAGCTGGGCTTGAAAAAAGAATAGAAGATACTAGAAAAATCCCTTTCTTGAGGAATAAAAGAACTAAAATCCAGCCAAGTTGAAATCAAAACAGCTATTAATGAGGTACAATAAAAAATGGAAACTAACTGCTAGGATAAATGAGGCAAAAGAGAGAATTAGTGATATAGAAGACCAAATGATGGAGAATAAAGAAGCTGAGAAAAAGAGAGATAACTACTGGATCACGAGGGGAGAAATTGAGAGATAAGTGATACCATAAGATGAAACAATATTAGAGTAATTGAGATCCCAGAAGAAGAAGAAAGAGAGAGGGGAGCAGAAGGTATACTGGAGCAAATTATAGCAGAGAACTTCCCTAATTTGGGGAAGGAAATAGGCATCAAAATCCAGGAGGCACAGAGAATGCCCCTCAAAACCAAAAAAAATAGGTCCACACTCTGTCATCTAATAGTAAAACTTACAAGTCTCAGAGACAAAGAGAAAATCCTGAAAGCAGTTTGGGACAAGAGGTCTGTAACCTATAACAGTAGAAATATTAGATTGGTAGAAATATTAGATTGGCAGCAGACCTATCCACAGAGACCTGGCAGTCCAGAAGGGACTGGCACTAAATGAGAAAAATATGCAGCCAAGAATACTATAGTCAGCCAGTATTATTATACTGTTATAATATTATATATATATATATGATATACATATATTATATATATTATATTATACTGTTATATTATTATCTATTATACTATGGACAGCCAGGCTGTCACTGAAAATAGAAGGAGAGATAAAGCTTCCAGGACAAACAAAAATTAAAGATTTTGCAAACACCAAACCAGCCTTACAGGAAATATTGAAAGGGGTCCTCTAATAAGCAATGAAAGAGCCTAAAAATAACATAGACCAGAAAGGAGCAGAGACAATATACAGTAACAGTCACCTTACAGGCAATACAATGACAGTAAATTCATATCTTTCAATAGTTACCCTGAATATAAATGGGCTAAATACCCCAATCAAAAGACACAGGGTATCAGAATGGATTAAAAAAAAAAAAAAAAAAAAAAAAAAAAAAAAAAAAAAAAAAAAAAAAGCAAGACCCATCAATATACTGTCTGCCAGAGACTCATTTTAGACCCAAGGATACCTCCAGATTTAGAGTGAGGGGGTGGAAAACCATTTACCATGCTAATGAACATCAAAAGGAAGCTGGAGTGGCAATCCTTATATCAGACAAATTGTAGATTTTTAAACCAAAGACTGTAATAAGAGAAGAGGAAGGACCCTATATTGTACTTAAAGGGTCTGTCCAACAATAAGATCTAACAATTTTAAATATCTATGCCCCTGATCTGGGAGCAGCCAGTTGTATAAACCAATTAATAACAAAATCAAAGAAACACATTGACAATAATGCAGTAATAATAGGGGACTTTAGTAACCCCCTCACTGAAATGGACCGATCATCTAAGCAAAGATAAAGAAATAAAGGACTTAAATGACACACTGGACCAGATGGACATCACAGATATATTCAGATATATTTCATCCCAAAGCAACAGAATACACATTCTCCTCTAGTGCACATGAAACATTCTCCAGAATAGATCACATCCTGGGTCACAAATCATTGGGTACCAAAAGATTGGGATTATTCCCTGCATATTTTCAGACCACAGTGCTTTGAAACTAGAACTCAGCCACAAGAGGAAATTTGGAAAGAACTCAAATATCTGGAGACTAAAGAGCATCCTACTAAAGAATGCATGGATCAACCAGGAAATTAAAGAAGAATTTGAAAAATTCACAGAAACAAATGAAAATGAAAACACAACTGTTTAAAATCTTTCTGACACAGCAAAGGTAATCCTGAGAGGAAAGTATATAGCAATACAAGCCTTTCTCAAGAAACGAGAAAGGTCTCAAATACAGAGCCTAACCCTATACCTAAAGGAGCTGGAGAAAGAACAGCAAAGAAAGCCTAAACCCAGCAGGAGAAGAGAAATAATAAAGATCAGAGCAGAAATCCATGAAATAGAAACCAAAAGAACAGTAGAACAGATCAACAAAACTAGGAGCTGGTTCACTGAAAGAATTAATAAGATTGATAAACCCCTGGCAGAGTTATCAAAAAGAAAAAGGAAAGGACCCAAATTAATAAAATCATGAATGAAAGAGGAAAGATCACAACCAATACCAAATAAATACAAGCAATTACAAGAACATATTATGAGCAACTATTTGCCAGCAAATTAGACAATCTGGAAGAAATGGATGCATTCCTAGGATGAATGAAACAAAATGAAACCAGAGAGGGAGACAAACCATAGAGACTCTTAATCTTAGGAAACAACTGAGGGTTGCTGGAGATGGCTTCGGGGAGGGCTGGGTGGTGACCATTGGAGAAGGTATGTGCTATGGTGAGTGCTGTGAATTGTGTAAGACTGATGAATCACAAACATGTACCCCTAAAACAAAGAATACGGTATATGTTAATTAAAAAAAGAAAAAAGAAAAAGAAAAAAAATAGAAGGCTCACCTAGATGCATATCAGCCCTTGGAGTGTGGACCAGTTTCAGTCTCCTGATAATCATGGATCCCCGTGACGTGGGGGTGGTTCTGGTAAATGAAAATGGCTAGCGGGACTCCCCTGGCTTGTTATAGGTCTACTGTGGGGTTAGCTAGATCTCTCACTCTTGGAGCTTTGATCAGTCCAGTTTTGCCGACTTCCTTAACTGTTGCCACATGGGGCAGACTCCCTGTTGAGTTCATGGTAACCTGGAACAGTTTTGGGCCAAAGCCCATGAAAGTGAAACTCTACAAAGGCAAGAAATAAATACTGTTCACTTGGTCACTATTATTAGTTCTCTGCTTTATAGTCTTTCCTTATATATTTATATTCATATGTAACATTTTTAAATTTATATAAGCATTATTTGGAAATCCTCATCCTGTTTGTGAATTAAGTCCTTTGTTTCTTCTCTGATGTGACTACACCCCAGAGACATAAGAACATGGGAAGAAAGCTAAAATCTGTGGTAAAACGGAGGATCCAAATGGGGACAGTGTCACACATTTTCTTGCTGTTTAGTTGAAATTTTGCCTGTTCTTCTACTTGCCACCTTATGCCACAAATATTTAAAGGCTACTGCTAAAGGAGAGGGTAGAGCTTTTCCGTGCTTTCTACTTGGGTATATTAAGCAGCTCTTTGCCTTGCCTCATATTTATTTATTTTAAGCATGACTATATCACTTTAGGGGCAAACTAATAAAAACCCTTCAGGTCAGAATCACAGTGAGTTATTTTCACCAGAAGCCTGAATGAGGAAAAAACGAGGTTGCTGATAATCAGCATTATCAGATGCTGTGTGTTAAATGTCTGAGGAGGGAAAGGGGCTGCAAAAGGGTGCTCAGAACATCCTTTTGAGTTTAGAATCCATCCGCACTTTAGAGGTGTTTTATGCAGAAAATTCTGTTGGTAATATGACGTAGGAAAATTCTTTTTGATGTAGGAAATTTTTAAAAAAATTTTTTATATTGAGCTATGAATCAGATATCACAGAGTTCACCTTTCTCAAGTGTACAGGCCAGTGGCTTTTATATAGTCACAAGATGGGGCAGCCTCTCACTCCAGAGCACCTTTATTACCCCAAAAAGAAACCCTCTGCCCATTAGCAATCACCCCCTATTCCCATCTCCCCCCAGCCTCTGGAAACCACCATTCTACTTTCTGTCTCTGGGAATTGACCTCTCCCAGACATTTCATATGCAAGACTCACTCATACAATACATGCTTTTCTGTGATTGACTTCTCTCGTGAAGTATCGTGTTTTCACAGGTCATTCATGTTGTAGTAGGTATCGGTCCTTCATTCCTTTTTGTGGCTAAATAGTACTCCCTTGTGTCGATATACCACATCTGGTTTATCCATCCCACGACTGATGGACATTCGGGTGGTTTGTACTTTTTCAATTGTTGTGAATAATGCTGCCAGGGATATTCATGTATTGGTTTTTCCGTGGCTCTATTTTCAGTTCCTTTGGGTATACACCTAGAGTGCAATTACTGATGTAAAATCTTGTTATTTTTCTGTTAACAAGTACAATACAGGGCGTCTGGCCCAACCCTTCATCCAGTGCAGGAATGAAAATGAGAATTTTCATGACAGAATATTACCCATCTGCCTCACCGTGCCATTTCAATTCTTTTACATAACCAGGACAGACGGCCGACAGCTCCCTCTGCTCTGTTTCGCCGGCGTCTGCTTTTGCAATTGCCACGGCAGCTGCAGGCCACGGAAGTCCACCAGGTGAGTAGAGTGGAGCTGCCACGTCCAGACTGACAGGAATGCACACGAGGTCAGCGGCGCTCGCCTGCCGGGATTGGGGAGACACTGCGCAGCTGGCTAAGGAGGCAGACTCCCGACTTCCATTCTAAGTCAGTGTGTTGGACGGTCTTTCATTCATTTATTATTTATTTATGTACTAACTTATTTTAAATGTTGTTATTTGAGTATAGTTGACACCCAATTTTACACTAGTTTCAGGTGTGCAGCCTACTGATTCAGTATCTCTGTACGTTACGCTGTGCTCACCACAGATGTAGCTACCATATTGTTGAGTATATCCCTATGCTTTGCCTTTTATTCCCCCTGACTTATTCATTTCATAAGCAGAAGCCTGGATCTCCCACTCCCCTTTACCGATAGACTGTCTTTTAAGTAAGTGCCTTCAGGTAAGTCTTACACTGGGTGTTGTGTGTGTGGTACTTTCAAGAACTTCTGTGTCACAGAAGGATGTCATATTTCTCCCATGCTGCTTTGTGGAGTTCTCTAACCTTTTTAGCCAGATTATCAGGAACAAGTGTTTCCTTTATAATTGAGTACAATGGTAAAAGCATATGTAAGGTAATGATGGGGAAAGCCTGTGGGGGAAGGAGGATGGAGGGACTCTTGGTTAACAAATCTGTGTATGGTTTAAGCAGCCTTCTTGCTGTGATTGTCTTCACCTAAACTAACCCCATGGGTTCTGATCATCACGCTTTGTAGAACCATGAGTGAGGGTGTATTTTGTTTAGTAGCCATTGTTGACCTACCACAAAAGAGTCCATTTCCAAAGCCTATGAATCTGTATTCAACAATAGTAACTAGTAAGTACTATCTGTTTGAATTCTTTCTAAATTGAAGTAGGAATAAAGAGACATGTTCTAGAATGAACCTGAACTACCACAGTAAATCTATTTTTATCTGAATGGAAATCTTCTCAGATTAACCACATTCTACCTCCAGTATTTTGCCATACATGCTGCATTGGACATGGTCAGGAAAATTGGGGTGTTTTTTTGCTCTAACTATTCTCAAAACCTTCTCCCCCAAATTCCCATCAACATAACAGAAAACAGCCTATAATGGTAATAGCATTGATGTCTTATCAACCCCATTGACTTCTGTTGTCAACCCCATCCATAATAATGAACATCTCTGTGGTGAAATGACGGTGTCTTCACTATGCTCTCAGCAGGATTGGTTACCAAGTGTGATTTGTTGAGACCCTCTCCTCAGTTTTTTGTCATAAGCTAGTTTCTGGAAAAGGTAAGGTGCAGAGCTTCCTCATAGGTTTTATCATTTAAATATGGTTCATGAGGGAAAAGAGTTTTTAAATGTTAATTCTCCATGAGCCTATTTCTGCATTTGCTGGAGGCTGGGGAGGGGAAGGATGCTTCTTTTTCATCTGGGATTGCAGCAAAGTTCCGAGGAGCTTTAGAGAATGGTATCTGGCTTTGGCTGGTGCATGCAAAATGGGCCAGAAGACAAAGTGACCAAAACAGCCAAGTCTTCCACACCATTGGAACACTGCCATTTTGGCTGCCTCGCTTTTGACGTCTTCCCTGCTACTTAAGTAGCTTTAGGAGGAAGGCTCCCTTCAGTGAGCTAGCTGAGGAGGGGTGGATGGTGATTGCCCGTAACCAGTGTGGCGAGGGGCAGGGTTACCCCATCCTGAGCAAGCACGCTGCTTCTTTACAACCGTGCTGCTGGTGTTGCCTGGAATGTGGTCTGGTGCCACATGATTCCACATTAGAAGGGGTTGGGTGTGGCAGTGTCTGTGGCCCTGCTGTAAGGGCGGCGGGTTGCACATGGGTCAGTTGCAGTGGCTAGTGGTGGTAAGAGAGGGGGTTTCTTTTGGAGTGAGGGCCAGTATATTCCTGGGGCTCAGCCACTCTGTGGAGCTGGCCCCCCACAGAGGATTCCTGGAGAACTGGACCTAAGAGCTGAGTACACAGGTGGCTGGGGAAGGTGGACTTGGGGGCAGAAACAGGGAAGTGTACAGAAGATGATTCGGAATTACTGGCTAGCCAGGGAGAGTAGGACCTCCCCTGGGAAGGGCTAGCTCCCAACAGAAAAGTGTTCAAGGTAAGAGAGGGCTAGATAGTGGCTAACTCCCACACCAGATTCTGTATCCATTTTCTGAACCAGGAATCACTGACCCAGATTCACCTCAGAACCTAGGGAGTTGCCAAGGCAAGCAGGAGGGAAGGTTGTGGAAGCAAGTGAACACCTCACACTTACATCAGCCTTTGCAGGCCTCCCGTCTGCTTGTAGGGCTGTGATGTGGGCCCACCTGGCAGAGCAGCTCTGCCATGTCTCTGCCCCGGCAAGAAGCAAGGGGGTGCTGGTTAGGCCACATGCTGTGCAGATTGGGCTTCCATGTTTCAGGCTTTTTTGTCTCCAGGTTCTATCCTGCTTTAATCCCCTCCCACTTGCCTACTCCCACCCAAATACACAGGAGTCTGGCAGCTCTGGGTTAGACCTGTCAATTAATGAGTATGTTTTCAAATATTCACTCCAGGCATTTGCATGTTAAGCCATTTTTCGTTAATTATTGCTACTTTATTAAAAGGAATTTCAAATTTAGCAAGAAAGTGGACAGTTTTCTTTGTAAAGACCCCATACAGGTTGCCCCTGCTTGGCCCTGAAGGCGGAGAAAGCTGATTTTATTTGTGGAAGGTGGCCTGGGGATCCACTCCCCGGGGTCTGGGCCTGTCTAATTTCCACACACACTAGAAAAGCCTGGGTTTTCCGGGACTGCTTTCTTTTAGGACCTAGAGCCCAGCCCTTTCCAAAGATAGGCAAGTCTGTCCTTCTGTATCATGTTCCCCTTGCCTCTGTTGGAGGCTTCATTGTAGATGAAGGAAAGCCTAATTCTGTGGGTATGATTGCAACCCTGAAGCAATCCTTGTTAACTTCACAGTATGAAGATTCACCAGTTTATTTAGTGCCTGCCTTCTGACTGGCAGCCAAGTTACATTGGGCCCACTTACCGTAGGATCCAGAATTTGGAGGCCTAACACTTACACAGTTGTCTCAAGGAAAAGAATACAAAAATCACAAATACAAACCCTCAGGATACCTCCCAGGGCTTCGGCAGAACTGAGAGGCCCTGAAGCTTGAGTGTCATTGGCTTCCTGTTAAATAAGCTTATGAGTCCAGTCCAGATCATTCTTGGAATTGCAGCAGCTGTAGGAAATTTTGTTGGTGGGAGTGGGGGAGTGGGTGGGACCATCATCAGTCAATCAAGTGCTCTTTCCTGTAGTGAGGCTTTAACTCTATACAAGACCGAGATAAAGGACAATTTGCAAGGTCTTGAGTGTCACTGCGCCAGTGGCAGTGTATTTTTAAGCATCTGCTCAAATATAGAAGCTCTGCACCAAAGTAGAATTTAAAATGTGCGCATTTCTGAGGGTTGCTGATGCAGGGAATCTGCAGGTGCAGGTTGGACACAGCTGTGGTATGAATAGAAGTGCACAACCAGGGAGTACACATATCAGGGCACATCGTGGTGCTTACTACGCACCTGAAGCTCTAGGGTTAATTATAGACTTTATGAAATGATCTAAAGTGAAATATGGAAGAGTGAGGTGGGTTATTTTTATGAGACTAGAAATCATGGCAATGGAGGTACTACAAGCCACTCTTGATCATCTGTGAACAGATGGTATGTTTTACCTTTCAATGCAAGACAAGGTAAATTAACAAAATGAGGAATGGTTGAATGTACTTAAGGGAAAGCTCATGGCACAGTCGCAGTTGCTAAGAGAAATAGTGAGTTCTTTACTGGTAATTACTTGGTCCTTGTAAAGTAGGTAATTCATAATCTGTTCTCTTTTCTGTCAAACCACTCAAGGCTGTGAAATCAGTAATAGATCTGAACTTGGTGTGAATTTGGCTTGGGCCAGTTTTTTAAAACCCTGGTACCTGGTACCTGGTCACTGGTCCCATCCCCAGAGATTCTGACTTGACTGCTCTGGGTACAACGTGGGCATCAGGATTTTTTTAAGTTCCCCAGGAGATTCTAGTGGGGAGGCATGCTGGGGAACTGCTGGACTCTGGAGGAGGTTTTGTTTGTTCCTTCTCTGGCTGCAGCATTCCCAGTTTATCTCCCCTGACCTGTCTGGACTACATTATTTTCTCCTTAGATAAGGCAGGAGTGGGAGAGATGCTCTTCCCCTAGCTTGGTAAGGCTTAGACAGTCCTTTTCCCTGGAGAGTAGACCTTCTTATGGAGAAGGCTCTGAGTGTATTTCACAATGGTGCTCTTCCCCCTTCCCTGCAAGAGCCCGAAGTAGTGTGGGGACCCCCTAAGAAGACAGTCCTCAGCAGTGCCCACGCTAACGCTGGTGCACACGCAGCCTCTAGCATTTGGTCAAAATGACCATTTGGTGTTGCTGCCCCTTCCTGGCTCCAGCAACTTCTGCTCCTGATAAGCAGATATCAGCTGTGTCCCTCCAGATTTGAGGCTGGCCGTTTGTCCTGCAACCTCAATTTTGTGATGTGTCCAAGTCATTGATTTTCAGTTTGTCCACCTTTTACCTGTTATAAAGACAAATATGTCAGCTTCTAAGTTCTTTACACATCAAGAGCTGAAGCTGGAAGTCTCCCTTGAAATTTTTATAGTGATTCTTTTGATTCTCTAGGTCAGTTTGGGGAGAATTGTCAATCTTAATAATATTTGCTCTTTCGGGGCACCTGGGTGGCTCAGTGGGTTAAGCCTCTGCCTTCGGCTCAGGTCATGATCTCAGGGTCCTGAGTTCGAGCCCTGCATCGGGCTTTCTGCTCGGTGGGGAGCCTGCTTCCTCCTCCCTCTCTCTCTGCCTGCCTCTCTGCCTACTTGTGATCTCTGTCTGTCAAATAAATAAAATCTTTTAAAAAATAATATTTGTTCTTTCAATCTCTGAATGTGGAATGTCTTTTCATGTATTTAGATGTGTGCTCTTCTCAGCAGTGTTCTTCATTTCTCAGCATATAAGTCTTAAA